AATAGTAAATAAAAATCTATGCCTTATGATCCATAGAAAAAAAATGAAAGCTCAGTCAATAGTTGTTGTTATACAATATAGGAACATTTAAATAAATGCATTGTGTTTACGACAACAATAAGAATAATTAATGTTGTATATAAATAGCAGGATGTGTAATATGTAGCTTTTATTTAACTTTATTAAATATTTTAATATTATTTGATTGTTTTTTTTTTTTTTGTTAATTTTAGATTTTGTATTTTAAAATAAATACATACATTTATGAATTCTAAAAGTTTTGCCGTTTTCCAAAAACCAAAAAGTCGTTGAGAAAGAATATTCAAAATAATTAAAACAAAAGCATTTTAAACATATGCTGATCTTATTTCATGTTGTTGTTGTTGCTGTTATCTTGAAGATACTGATGATGCTGTTGGTGTGTTTGTCTGTAAATAACCCAGGAACTTATCTTGAAGTTACTTGAACTGTTTTACTTAGTTTTTATTTTTTTTGTCTGTTTAATATAAATGCAAGAAATTAAGTAAAACAATACAAGTGCAAGTGTGGTTGTATAGATTGTGAACTATTTTCTTTTTTTTTCGGTTGTTAATATTTGTATGAACACTATTTTCTTTTAATATGTTATTTAAAAAGTTAATAATTATCGTTTTTTGTTTTGGTTTTAGGTTAGGTTAATTTGAAATGAAAAAAAAGAAAAATATTTTATCAAAGGTTTTTCCTATTATTTGTTTATATTTTTGTTTGTATAACATACTTCTGTTTTATTTTGGTATTCCTGATTTTTAACTATTTTTTTTTCAATTTCTTCATTTAGATTTAAATTTTATTATAAGCATATTTCGGTATATTGAAATGTTTTTATTTTCTTGCGGTGATTTTTATGTTTTTTCTCTCTTTCGTTTAGATGGATAGTAAGTAGCTCAACTATTGCTTTTATGTTTCTCTTGTTTTGTGTTTGGTTTACCAATTGTTTTGTAGTAGTGTAGTATTTATACAACTGTAACAGTGTGGGTTTTTATTTAGTTTTATAAAAAAATTTTAATAAAAAGACTCCAGTCGACTGGCCGACCATATTTTAGAAGACTACATCGCTTGACTTGTTTTGAGACAAAAATTATGGGAGAAACCTTAAACTGACTCTATGTGTAGCTGAGAAACTCAGTTTATGTCACAGAAGAATATTTTCTCCCAACAAGAAGAAGCATTGACAAAGACAACTGATATCCCCGCTTTTTATTTTTTCCTTCATTTGGTTAATTTCTGTAAAACATACAATTTTTGGCGGCTGAGAAATTAAACGGATTTGCAAATGGTAAAATTAATCAAACTAAAAACATAATGACATTAAAAAGAAGTATTACTAATTAAATAAATAAAACTCTTGTAATGGAATAGTTAGTTTTATACCAGAAATCGTGAGGCGGCTATTGCAAATACCAAATGTGAAAAGTGTGACACAATCAATATACCGAATGTCTCGAGGTATATAAGTGGACCTAAATAGACAACAGTTCTATGCAAGGATGATGCCTACATGCCAGGAACACAAATTTCCAATTTGCAGAAAATTCGGGTTAAATGTTTGCCTGGTGTTTATATATCTGACTCAATGATATGGGGACATCAATCTTATCATCGAGTGCTTCCTTCAAAACTATTCCTTTTTTAATGTAATTCTAAGAATCGCCGGGGTTATTAATTAACCCCGATATATACCTATTTGCAACCAAACCCACTCGAATCTGGTACAAAAGCGGTCCTTGCTTTACCCTTTAATCAGAATCAGGCGGACAGAACCTTCGAATCAAATGTGATTCAAGTAAGAGTAAGGACTTCAAGTTCAACATCGAAGACTTCCTGAAACACTCCTACATCAAAATTCTTCACCCATTTCAGATGTTTGTCCCTCATCTTATCAGCTAGTCCTTCCTTCAAAACTATTTATTTTTCAAATAAACCCGATTTAAGGGTTTTCGTAACCAAACCCACTCGAATCTGGTACCCAAGGGGTCCTAGCGTTACTCAGCCCTTTTTAATCACAATCATGCAGACAGCACCTTCGAATCAGAAGTGATTCATCCTACATCAAAATTCTTCATCCCTTTCAGATATGGGGACATCAATCTTATCACTTAGTCTTTTCTTTAAAACTATTCCTTTTTTTAAAGTAATTTCTCAGGATCACTCAAATGAACCCGAGACTTAAAGCCTTTTTCAAAATTCTTTCTTCCAAAATTTTTGTTTCAAAACAGACCTTAGCAATGTAGATTAAAAAAATACCAAAAAGAAAGTTACAAAAATTTGCAAATTTAAAGCAAAAAAGATTTCTTTAAGCAATTTTGTTTTTTTTTAATGTTATAAATTTTTATACCCTCCACCAAGGACGGGGGTTTGTTTATGTGTGTGGTATGCTGCGCCAAAAGAAATAATTTTGTTTTTTATTTTCTAAATTGTTTTTTGTTTATAAAAAATGTATATATGTATGTATGTATTTATATGTATGTATATACTTTGGGGAGATCTCTAACAAAAGGTATTTACTTTGTTTTTTTTTTTCGTTTCATGCATAATTTATGTTGTTGTTTTTTTTAGATAAAAAGGATTTAGAGCTTTTCTTGATGTCATTTTGTTTTTTTTTTCATTTTGAATATTGGTGTTTAAGATTTGTTAAGCTTAATTAATTAAGGTACATCCAGTTATATTTAAATAGCTGCCTACTAATAAGATTTTTCATTTTTTTTTTTTGTTAATTCCGCCAAAGTTTTTTTTGTGGTTTTGAAATGTTGCATATTATTTTTTTAATGTATTCATATATATTTATTTATAAACGTGTAATTTTGCTCCGACGAAATTCATAAATTTTTGTTTTGTACGAAAAAGTACTTTTTGTTGTATTACATATGTATTTTATGCATATTATTTATATATTGTTCGATTTAGCCTTTTTTATTTAAATTTTCTTCGAAGACATTTAGATCATTTGTTTTTTTATATAATACCCGTCTATATGTTGTTATAATTGATTTGTTTTTTTTTAATAAAAATATGTGTTAAAAAAATAAAAAAATCCAAAACAAAAGGAAACATAACTAAAGAAAAGGCAATAATAACGTAAATTGAAAGTCAATCCGAAATTGTTACTCCGTGGCCTTTCATTCTTTTTCAAACACTACCAAATTTTTATCGTTAATTAGTCTGGTCACCGAATGATTGATTCCTTGATTCAAAAATCGAAATTGATTGAAAAAATCATAAATCAAAATTGAAACTCGAAACAAGCGTAGTGTCTACATCGAGATTCGAGAAAGAGATGAAAAGTGTGACACAAAGCATCAATATTCTGAATGTCTCGAGGTTCAGCAATATGGGGCTATAAGAGGATGTGGACCTGTATGATCAATTTTCTGTCATATGATGTAGTATCCATTACAAACTCCATATTTGAAACAAATCCGGGGAAAAGTGAAACACAAATCTTCAAAATACAGAATCCCCGTAGTCCAGTCAGAAAATTGCAGTTGCAGAAAATTCGGGTTAAATTGTTGCCTGTCTAACTCAATGATATGGGGACATCAATCTTATCATCGAGTGCTTCATTTAAAACTATTCCTTTTTCAATGTAATTTTTCAGAATCTGCCAAATTAACCCGACTTAAACGTTTTCGCAACCAAACCCACTCGAATATGATACAAAAGCGGTCCTAGCTTTACTCAAATAATGCGCTCTTAACATTTGACCTCGCGAAAATTAGCATGTTTTTCATCTGGAGCAGGCGAACAGCTTTCACGAAAGAGAATTGTTTTTTTTTAGAAGTGATCCAATTACTTTTGTTGCCAACATCACCAAATTCCTTAACACCAATCATCACCTCATCGAAGATAATGGGGGGGCGGATTCTTCCAAGACCAACTCACTCGAATCTGGTAGCAAAAACAGTCCTGACTGTGTTCAGCCTTTTTAATCAGAATCAGGCGGATAGCACATCAGAATCCTACGGTTTAAAGTGCGCCAAATCCTTCAGTTTGACAACATTACCGTAAATAAGGAATTCAGATGCTATTATATGGAAGACTTCCAATTCTTTTATGAATAATAAACTCCTTAAACACACCTTCTTCCTTCAAACTTGAATTCACACAATTTCGGTACAAAGGGGTATGTTTAAAGTTGATTGCAGGTAGGACCAGGCAAGCAGTTTCCACGAATATCAATACTTTTCATAAAAGTCATTCTTTTCTTTTTAAAAACAAATTTTTGAGCTCCTCAAAGTATGCTATAAGAATGTGAAAAAGTCAGTATATACAGGGTGAGATGAAAAAATGACTGCTGTCATCTCTAAACCACTCGTCCGACAACTGTTAAAATTATTCCAGTCATTGTTTGAAAGCATACAAAAGAATTTTCCAGAAAAAAGCTATTCGTGATAGAATTCAAGCGTGATAGTGTGATTGTCTTATACCATCGCTCGTTACCGTGATACTGGTAGCGTAGCCCGACGTCAAGGAAGTGGCCAAAAGAAAACAACAACATCAGCAGAAATGGTTCGGTAGTGGTTATGGCGTTTGACTTTATTCCAGTTTTTTCTTTATCTCACCATGTATACACCATTTTTCCCGGCAGGGACAGGCAAACAGATTCCACGAACATCAATTCATAATTCATTGAATCGATCCTTTCCTTTAAACAAATTCTTGAGCTCCTCAAAGTATGCTATAAAAATGTGTAAAAAGTCACTATACATAGGACTTTAACATCATGTGTAATTGAGTCTTCCTATGAGTGGCATACTTCTCAGACGTTCATTTTTTTTAATTTCAAAATCCTAAAATCTTGATTGAGCTTTTCAAAATAAGAAGCAATAAAAGTAAATCGAGTTGAAAAAATAAATATTTTAAATTTAAATTAAATTAAATTTAATTTAAAAATAAATATTTTAAGAAACAAAAACCCTTATTCTTCAAACCAAAAAAATAAAGACAAAATTAAAACAAAAAACTTCTTTATATTGTTTCCAATAATCATTTCGAATAAAATTTATTATCGTTTTTTTGTTGTTAAGAATTAAATCAAAATTGTTGCAGTCCAAAATATGTTTAAAAAACATGCAAGAAACATCTATGAATAAAATCACTTTTAAAAAACTTAAAAAATTTAAATATCTAGAATTGATAGATATAAAAAAAAACAAATATTAAAAACTTTCATATTCGTGCTAACATTGTTTACATCATTTAAAAATAAAATTAAATACTGATTTCAATAGAAATTATTTAAAAAAAAAAAAAAGAGTTCAACAATTTGATTATACTCATGTCTGCATATTTTTTTGTTTGTTTGTTTCTTTGTTCTTTAATGTAACGTCATGTCAAGATGTCTTGTTATCTTTAAGTGAGATATAAAATATTTTTTTGTTGGTGGAGGGTATACTAAATTCGGCCCTGCCGAACATAGCACTCTATATACGCTGCCTATGAAATTTCTTCTTTAACTCTCTGCTTTGTTATTTATAATGTATATAGAGAGAGCTGTGTTTTGTGTTCTTTTCTTTTCCTCGTTCGTTTGTATTTTGTTTGACGAAAAATCATAATTGTTCATTCGTTTTGCTTGTTTGTTTTCTTTGTTTTTAATATATAATAATTATGGGTAAAAAAATTATATATATTTATGTATAATATGTACATACTAAAAAAATGTTTTAATTGCAATTTTGCAGCATACAATATTAATATTAATAATATTAAATTTTTTGTTTTTGTATTCTAAATATGTATGTATATGTATATATGTGTGTGTATTTTTTGTTTTAATAAAATTGCTAAATTATGGTGTCTAATTGCCTGGCTTGGTGTAAGATTTTCTTCTGGTGCCCCACTAATGTTATACCCATGTCGGAGAGCTGTTGAGCAGTTAATCTTGAGATCTGTTGAGCCGTCACTAGATTAGCCTCTTTGAAGTGTTGCGAATAGCGTGACATTTTAATGTTATCCAACCAGATGTCGGTACTGATGAAGATATTATGACCCCGCTGGCTATCCATAATGTGGGCGCCATCATTCTCCGGCGAATTGCGGGTGGTGAGCAATGCCTGCGGCTGGCGTGCCAAATTGTCCAAGGTCGATACAATACTGGCAAACGATGGCCGATGTGTCCGTTGTTTTTGCCAGCAATCCAACATTAACTGATACAAGGCCTCCGGACAGTCCATGGGAGCCGGCAGACGATAACCCTTCTCGATGCTCTTGATGACATCCTGATTCGACCAATTCCAGTAGGGACGTTCACCATACGACATTACCTCCCACAAGACCACACCGTATGACCAAACATCCGAGGCCGAGGTGAATTTTCTAAATGCAATGGCCTCGGGTGCGGTCCAGCGTACCGGTATCTTACCACCACGTGTGGTATATGCATCGCTGGCATTCTCTATTTCTCGCGACAAGCCGAAATCGGCAATTTTACAAATTAACTGGGAATTTACCAGCACATTGCGGGCCGCCAGATCACGATGTACATAATTCATTTCGCTCAAATATGCCATGCCACTGGCAATGCCTCGCAGCATCACAATCAACTGCAGTGTTTGAAACTTGCCATCGTTAACCCGCAAAAATGTATCCAAACTACCGTTCTCCATGTACTCGGTGATGATCATGACCGGATTTGAACGTGTCACCACACCCTGCAGATATATAACATTGGGATGATCAAATTGGCCCATAATCGAGGCTTCGGTCAAAAAGTCACAGCGTGCCTTTTCTGATGACCCTGGTTTTAGAGTCTTAATGGCAACATCAATGTCCTGAACAAAATTCGGGGGTATTTTCAAGCGGCCACGACACACATCTCCAAATTCACCACCACCAATAATGGCCTCTATGGTAATGTAATTAGCATCTATTTCCCGGGCAAACTCTCGTATGGCCTGATTGGGATCCTCATAGGTATGGGGATCAACATAGCTTCGACTATTGCCAAACAAGGGTGTGGTAACATTCGATTGTATCGTCTTGACAATGGGTGTTGTGTCCATGGCATGTATATAGGTCACAACCTGTCCCTCATTGCTGGCATAATCCAAAGGCAGAGGCATGTGATTGCTAGACTTCTTATCCAAATCATCCTGGTTTTTGGAGCGCAAGAACACCACTGTGGCTATGATTACCAAAACCAAAATAACAACCACAGCTACCGTGGCTCCGGCCACAATACGCATTTGTAAATTTTCCTCATAGACTGATCCAACACCCGGCTGTGTATGGGCATACACAATGTTGCTGTATGTTCCATAGCCATTTATGGTTTTGTAACGCACCTGAAAACCATACTCCGTATTATCGTTCAAACCTTCAACATGGGCCTTTGTTTCCTTGGTGGTCAAGGAGGTTTTGTTGATGGCATCAAAATCCGGCTTGGGAAACCAACGCACCTCATAAAATTCAATGGGAGCATCAGTTTGCACCGGTTTCTCCCAAATCAAATCTACTTCATTACTGGTGGCCAGTACAATCCGCACATTGCTCACAGTCGACAATATGGCCGATTCCGTTGTGGTAAAAGTAATCTCATCCCATTCAGTCTTGATTTGACTTAAATCTATAGGTTGATTGTGAATACTGCTGGTGGCCCCAGCGCCATGGGGTATACTGGATGTTGGCCCTGGCATTAGGGGTATTTCATTGTCATGATGTTTACCACTTCCAGTGTTCTCTTCCGAACTAAATGAATCGTTTGAGTTCCTCTGGCCCTTGTCATTATCATTGCCTCCCGTGCCATTGTCAGCAACATAAGACACACCATTCATGGAGTGGATTTGAATGGTGTAGGTTGTCAGTGGTTCCAGATTGGTTAGTGTCAATTTGGTGTCATTGAATGTGTCGGTGTTGGGTGTTAGGACCACATTGGAAGAACAGGATGAGCAGACAACCTTATAGACTATATCACTGCGATACAGGGAATTGGCATCGGCAGCAGTAGGCTCCCGAACTGGGGCATTCCATGACAAAATTGCACTGATATGATCGACAAAGAGCAAGGTGAGATTTGTGGGTGGTCCTGGTGGCTTGTAGCATGGCATATATTTGCCATCCCTGGGATGGCGATTGAAACCAGGCAAACACTTGCAATAGCTGGAGGCCACCTTCGATGCATTTGAATTTGGCGGACAGGGTATACATTTGGTGACCTCAGGCGAACGGAATGTTCCAACCGGGCATTCGGTACAAGTCTTGTTGGCAATGTCCGGTTCATAGCCACCCTTACAACGGCAACCTCCAGTCAAAATGGTCCACTTGCCATCACCTTTGCACAAATATGTTGGTTGTTCATATGCCTCAGCATTGTCCACACAGGTGCCGTTCTGTTTTTCAAGAATGGTAATTTCACGGCCCGTTGGTGTCTCTTTGAAATGGGCCAAATTTTCCGTCACCGCCGGACAGGTTATGTAGTAGACCTTCACTGCCAAGACACTAATACAGGCTCCTTGATCGCGAAAAGCAAAGTATACCCCCTTCTTGGTGACGGCAATGCTTTTCACTTCCGTATTAATGTCAACATCGGAATTTTGATTGAAACGACCCTCGGCGGCAGCTATACGGGCTATTAGCTTATAGCTATCGGTTTGCCATGGTGGCGGTTCCCTGGTGGCCGCATCGAACTCGTAGTACAACAAACTAAACGTCTCCTTGCAGGACAATGTATTGCCGGGAAACAGCGAACAGTCTCTTATGGTAAATTGTATTTCAATATAGAGCCGATTGGCTGGACCGCGATCAATAAATGGCGACCACAGCCAGTTGTTGACATTGTGATAGGCCACATCACAGACAACGTAGCTACGCCAATTAATACCCTTTACAAAGTCCGTAAAACTTTCCTCAACCCAACCGGGTGTCTGAGCCTGTGGTCCATACGGGTGACGGGTCCATTCCAGGGTTGCTTCTCGCGTTGTATCCAATAGTATCACTTGATCGGCAGCCACCGAATTCAGCTGCATACAAATTAAAACTAAAATACTTATAATGATAGACGACGACTGTATGAATGAGAGATATTTCGTAGATTTAGTTGCACCGCCACCATGGTGGGGCAGTGTGGCATTGGGGGGCATAATTGTATTATGGCTATTGCGGGTATTAAATACTGCTGCTGTTGGTGATTTGTGGCAGGATTTGTGTTTGAAATTTTCTTCAAATATTTTGTCTGGTGGTAGGGGAGATAATGGCAAGGATGATGCTGGCGATGTTGGTGGTGTTGCTAATGCTGGTGATGATGACGATGATGATGATGATGAGTTTTGTGTGGCGGCTTTATTTAAATTCGATGAATGTCGTCGATGTTTTGTTGCTGCTGCTGCGGTTGCTTTTGTTGTCGTCGAAATCCTTGAAAATGGACAATAATTTAATGATGTTGTTGATGTTAGCAATAGAGATGTTGAGGCTCTTTTAAAGACCAATTTCACTGTTGCCTTTGCAGTGTCAGCCAAGTTATTTGCTGCTGCTGCTGCCGCTGTTGTCGTTGGTGACATAGTTTTGTTCATTGTTATTGCCGACAATGGTGGTGATGTTTTTGTAAAACAACAATGCTGCTGCCTCTCTTCTGGGCACGTAGTTATATTTCTTCGTCGTCCTTTTTGTAGATTAATTGTCGTGGAAGCATTTTTTAAATTCAAATTCATACTAATTTTTGATTTTGATGTATTCTCATCCAGTCTTGTTGAAATCGATGATATATGAGAAGAAGAAGATGATGAAGAAGAAGGTGTTAACTTTATGCAGCCTTGGTGGCAGCTGCTGCCAGCACCCCTTCTCCTATTATTAGTGGTGTTGTAATAATTATCGTAGTCGTTGTTGTTGTCGTTTTTGAAAACTGCATTTATTTCACTACTCCCATGATGATTACAACTACAGGCTAATATTGACGATGATGATGGTGCTGCTAATTTTGCGGCTGCTATTACTGCTGCTGATGATGTTAATAATGATGCTGATGAATTTAAATAATGCCAAATACTGGTTGTCTTTTGTTGTTGTTGTTGTTGTGGTTGTTCTTGTTTGTTATTATTATTAATCTTTTTACTAGCAATGTCGTTGACATTTTCATGGCTTTTCACTACTACTGAGCAATGACATTCTAAATCCGGAGGTTTTTCTCGTTGCGTGTGGTGAGTAGATTTGGAATGGTTCAGAATAATCATAACTATAAAGAAGAAATGTTGTATTAGATTTTTTCAAAATAAATTAATATTGAAAATTGACCAGGATTTTGAATGAATGAAATCAGAGAAATCGTTGGGTATTGCCAAGTAAATTAAATTGTCCCTTTGCGGCTGACTATGTGGGCTGTCTGACAGTACTCCGGTAATGACATCTTACCTCATGAATGTAATCGACGCTCGTCTTCCTTCTAGGCTATTTCGTTGTGCTTAGTTAAGAAATAAAGTTAGTATCCTTGAAAGGAGTGTCAGATGAAACTTTAAGGACTATATTTTTATACCCTCAGTCATATGGCTAGAGGGTATATATAGGATATTTTAGACCCAAAGCAAAATTCAAAAATTAAAAAGAATTAAGTTTCACGCGCCTCAAAAAAAATGGATTGGAACTGTGGATGTGATGTCATAGAATTGAAATTGAAAAAGATATATTCGATTTTTCAAATATATCTGCCTATTTGGTGATATCACGATACAGTCCGCATTATTTGACGTACAGAAATTTGGCACAATAATATGTATCGTGTCGGTATCGGTCCACGTTTTTGTTTAGCCCTCATATAATGGTTGTTCCCTATATTACTACTTTTTAACGGAATTTTTCAAATTATGGTATTAAGAGTTTGCAAGGGGTTCTACCTATTGTAGCAGAACAATCTCTGTATAGGTCCCCGTTTATATATAGCGTCCATATAACGGTACCGACTTATATTCCTCATTTTTTACGATTTAGGCCACATTTTCTATCCGTCTGCCTGTCTGTCTGTTTGCTGGCTGGTCCGCACGATAACTCTCGAAGAGAGTATCCGATTTGGTCCGAATTTGGTACAAAAAATTGATCAATTGATTTTGGTCAAACTTTGCAAATCCTAATATTGTGTCTGTGCTTGGTGGTGCTAGGTGCGAAAATGCATGATAATAGACCGTCCCCTTCTAGTACCTTCCTCACAAATGGTCAAATTTTTGAATGATCTCAACTCTTATAAAATGTAAAATAAGAATCCAATTGCCTTAAAATTTTGCATAACTCAATATTTCTAACAACTTTAGGCCTGGTATGTAGATAGGTCGGACAACTCTTTCTGATACCTTCCCCACAAACGGTTCAAAATTTAGAATACTTATATCTCTTATGAAACACGAAATCACCATCGAATTCTCTCAACGGGTCAAAATTTTAAATAACCATCAAGCTCATAAAACGCGAAATAAGCATCCGATTTCTTTTAAACTCTGCACGTCGCAATATTTCTATTAAGGCTAGATCCCATGTGGAGATGCGATATATCGGACCACTAATTCAGGTAATTCTGGGTATACATCTTTCGCTCATATAAAATTATGACATATTTTACGTTTTCAGGCGGATATCCATGAAATCAAGAAGGTAGCTAAAATAGCATAATAGAACCAGTGACTATATATGTGAATTGTCAGGCGGCCCTCGAAACTATCGAATCAAGTGGCATTAAATCCAGAGTCATTTTTTACTGCCAGAAAACCATTCTTGAGATTCGCGAATACATTGAGATTTGTTATATTCCAGGACATACTAATAAAGTATGGGAATGAAATGACGAACTAGCTCGGGTGGCTCCCAGATCGATGAGACTGCCATACCAGCCATAAGCTATTATTCAGCTGCTTCAAAAAAATCTCATAGAAGAAGTTGGCACTTGGAAACCGGTTGCCAAGTATCTATGGCCATCTGACCGGTAATCTCAAGATGGTATCTTAACTTATATGGACTATGTTAGGAGGAAGAAGAGATAAAGACGATTGAACATTTTCTATGCAGATGTAGCATGCTGCCAACCGGCAGACATAGGCCGTCCGTTAGGTGGGAGATAAAAACTAACGTTCTTCTCTGGCTTAGATCGCTTCATCATTCATAGGTTGGCTAAAAGCTTATCACGCAAACCTTTATATAACTAGATCTTTTCTATCCCTCCTTTTTTGTCGATTTATATCTTTCCTATCACCACTAATTCTTCCCGGGATGATCACAATGGACCAATGGTCTCCGAGTGAAGCAGCTACCAACTCCATTGTAGTTTAATATAACCTAAACAGATTCAATTGGAGAAAATCAGTTATTTACCTATTTAAACATAAGCAGGAATTTTGTCAAAACCTTGACCTATTTTAATAACTGTTCGTAGTCAGAATTCTCATTTTAGGAGATTCAAAAATTCCAAATAACAGTGGGCCCACATTGGATGTTTTCTACATAGAGTGGTATATCTTTCGAGAACCTAAACTATTAAATTAGAACTTGTTCTGGTTTAAAATTCCTTCGAAACTTTTAAAATACTTTTAATCAGATGGAGGATTTAATGGAGGATATAACAAATGGTGGACATTTTCGTTGTACTTATTACATTAGAACTTGTTCTGTTTTAAAACTCCTTCGAAACTTTTAAAATACTTTTAATCGGATGGAAAATTTAATGGAGGATATAACAAATGGTGGACATTTTCGTTATGCCACTCATTGAGAAGCTCAAATTAAAGCTATTTCGGTTGAAAATTATGACGAAAATGCTTAAAATTTCGAAAATTTCGAAAACCATGTGTTTCCGCCACTATATATATATGGCCGGATATATAACATATTTAATATCCATCATTTTAGGCTGTATGAAAAAATTAGTTTGGAAGATTTCAGAGCCTTTGATAGCCGTAGAATTGTATTCTGATAAGAATATACGAAAATATCGAATTTTTGCACGAAGTTAATGGCTTAGTATAACCCTCATCTTAATGCGACCGCCAATGTGATTCCAAAAATACATAGATGAAAACTAAATATAATCGTATATTGTGTTTTAACAAGTTAGGCTTCAGTAACCTTTTCAATGCCTACGTTAGAAAGGTTCAACTGGAGTGATTCAAACATGTTTCCAATTAGGCACTCACAGTTGCGGAAAAGAGTATTTTAAATAGTAAAGAGGTCTGCTTAGTTTCGGTCTACAATGGATTCCCCAAGTTTTTTTTATACCCTAAACAATATGAAAACATATGACCAAATCTATTGTCCTCGAAACCCCCTAAAATACAGATGTTCCTTTATATACTATACCAATATTGGAAGCATCCAAAATATCAAATATTTAATAAAACATACAACACTTTTAAAGGATCTATGAAAAAAAAAAATAAATTCTTTAAACAATTCATACCGTATCCTTTTTGCCAAAGAAGTAGATCTATGAGTTGAAGTTATTCCGAACTGCATTAGGTCAAAGAAATCGTGTTTTTTTCGTGAGGGGGTGGTACAGCTAGAAATGATTCTTTTTTTGCCTCTTAATCTTGTCCTTTACATATAACCCTTATTCTTGTGCGACCGCCAATGTGATTACAAAAATGCATAGATGAAAATTAAATATAATCGTATATTGTATTTTAACAAGTTAAGACTGAAGATTATTGCCCTAATGCACCTAGCACAGTATGGTGTAGGCTATAAAAACGTTTCCAACAAATGGATATCAATATTTATTGCTAGTTTGCTTTCTGACACCTTATAATTTTTAATTTCAAATTCATTCCTCCGCTAGTTTATATTTTATAGCCATGATCATTTTTTTTATTACTTTGTATTAGGACGTGTGAAATTTCAACAATACTTTCTCTATAATTCTAATTACCACTAACAATGAAAAAACAATTTTGAGATATATTTAAATATGTGGGTGTTTTGTGTGTGTGCGTGTGTGTGAAACGGCCAGCCATTATATTTTCAGATTAAAAACAATCTAATCAAAAGAAATCTGTTAAACGCATTTCTTCGCCGCACATATAAAAATAAACATAACAACATAAACAAGCAAGGCAAGCATGTTAAGAATGTTTACAAATAAATACCCCCTGTGTCGAGGAATCACATTACAAGTCATAATTTTAATGGATGAATCATTTTCTCCTTTGTTTCAAATTATGACTTGTGCATTACTTTTACGAGCCAGTATTTGTTTGTTATTTTGTTAGTTTTGATTTCGAAAGAAATGATTGAAGTTTTTTGTTTAACAAAAAAAATATAAAGAAAGTTAAAACGTATAAATTTTAAATTAAAAAAAAAAAACAAATATACAAAATTATTATTTTGTTTTTAGTTCAAGAGAAATATTGAAGTGGTTTAAAATAATTTAATTTAGGCATTACCAATTTATGAGGGCAGACTGGTGCGGTACATACCGATGCCATCATGGTGGTATACCGAAAGATTGTTGACCTTAGGGCTTGCCAAAATGATTTTTTGATGGGAATTCTCAATTGGATCGTAGTTTATGTATTACACCCAATTAAAACAATAACTACGTTTTAGAAATTGACTTCAAATAAAAAACATGTGCCAGTTCTATATTACCAAAATCTAAACTGCTTTGAAACAGTTCATTGGGTTTAGTTTTAGTTTGTTTTAAGTGATTGCAGCTATACGGTATTCGGCAAATGATTTACACAAAGATCTTTGGTTCATTATCATCATTCTACGAATAATAATAGTTGTGTTCCAGAACCTGCAAATTAGTACTAATTAGCACTAATTCTGCTACAACGCGTTCCCGTACTCCAAAAACTAGCAAAACTTGCAGCTCTCTCGAGAAAAAAATGGCGCTGAGTGGTGCACATTTCTGCCTGTTTTAGCTACATGAATTTGGCCGATCAGAAATGTGCATATTGTAAATTTGACATTTAATTGGCAGGGCTAACAAGGTTGAAAAATGTATTGATACATTTCAATAAAGAAAATGATCAACTTGAAAACTAAAGGAAAAACTAATATTTGTCGTGCAAAAAACAAAAAGAGAAAATATGGAGCAACTGATGGACTGGCTGAATGAGGAATCAGATTATTAATTATTATTATAAATTATTAATTTTAACTTATCGTCTTCAATATTCATTTTTTAAATGTTGGCGCTCTTTTCAGTAAGGTTTCACCAGTCCGATTTAGGCTGTTTACTTTTGGAATTTTGACATTTTATCGCATTTCCGCTAATTTTCCGTTCCCTTATTTTTTGAGCAAACCTAAATGAGAATGACATTTCGAACTGTTCTCTCTTCTGCTAGTTTTACTACTAAAAAAGTACTGGAACACAACTAATGTTGGTGGCGATAGGAGAAATATAGAAGCGAAAAAGAGAAGAAAGGGTTTGATTAGCAAGGTGGTTGCCTGCCTACCCAGGGAATGTTTTTAGCAAACTTGCAGATGATGATGGGATCAATGTCTGAGAAGAACATTCGAGTTTTTACCTTTCACCTACTAAATAGCCTAAGTCTCTTGTTGGACAACAACATGGGGCATCTGCATAGAAGGTGATGAATCGTCTCTTCCTCTTTGTCATCCTCACATAGTCTACAGTAGTCAGGATCACCATTATCTCATCTTGAGGTCAGATATCTCTGATATTTCAGTGACCAGTCAATATACTCACGGCGATTCTAAGATTAGGCCTGCTAATTGATGGCAGTTAACAGGTTGATCTTCTCCAGATTACCAGTCAGATGGCTTTAAGTACCTTGCAATCGGTTTTCAAGTGCTATCTTCTTCGAAGAGAGACTTTTTGCTTTTTTGCTTCACCTAGGACATTTTGGCCGGTGGTATGTCCACTATTCGTGCACGACAAAACCGTGAAGAGTGAAGAGGCTGGAATTTTAGCAGAACATTCAATACACACATTCTGAACGTTCTGGACGCAATCGCATACCGTCATTTTGACATCTATCAAGTGTACGACTTTTCGTCTAAGTCTCTTCAACCATATGACCTTTCTACATAAATAGGTGTGCTTGCTATAGTATCTAGTTTTGGGCTCACCAAGAAATATTCAGTGTAACTACATCCAGAACTGACAGCGAACATTAATCTATTTTGCCTTTTCTAGTGAATGGTACAAATTCAGTATTTTCTTGGCCTAGAAAGGAAGAGGGGCTCTATCGGTCTATAGTCTATGGGTAATGTGTAATAAGGTTTCCCGAATCGGGAAAAATAGTTCAACTGGTGTGATTCAAACATGTTTCCAAATAGCCACTCACAGTTGCGGAAAAGGGTATTTTAAACAGCAAAGGGGTCTTCTTAGTTTCGGTCTACAATGTCGCCAGTCCACATTTTTTAAACCCTAAACCATATGAAAACATATGACCAAATCAATTGTCCTCGAAACCCCCTAAAATTCAGATGTTCCTTTATATACTATACCCATATTGGAAACATCCAAAATATCAAATATTTAATAAAACATAGAACAATTTTAAAGGGTCTATGAAAAAATTAATATTCTATAAACAATTTATTAAACATTCATGATATTCGCCTAATGAGATCAATCCATGTCCTTTTTTTGCCAAAGAAGTAGATCTATGAGTTGAAGTTATTCCGAACTACATTGGGTCAAAGTAATCGTGATTTTTTCGTGAGAGGGTGGTACAGCTAGAGATTATTCTTTGTTTGCCTCTTAATCTTGTCCTTTACAAAGCTTAAACGCTTAAAAATTGGTGTAGGTACAAAAAAGGAACAAACAATAATTTCATTTCCTACTTTGAAAGTATTAAAAAATATTATTTTGCAAATTTTTTACGTTGTAAAATCGGATGTTGATAAAATATGAGGAACAGAATGGCTCAATATAGATTGTTTCACAAGAAGCAGATAAAAAACGGTCTCATTCTGAACTAATAGAATTTTATTTTACCAAGATATTCGATAACATTTTTTAAAAAATCTATAAGGGACATAAGGCCCATTATTTGAAAAAGAATCTATGACTCATGCATAAAGTCTTAGAGATTCCCATGAATATTGTTAACTTTAAGATAGATATCATTCATCTTGTTCTGAAATATTCACAAAAGATATTCCAATCTACCAAGTATGTTTCCTATTAAAGACTGGTACCTGGAATTCCGGATGAACAATTAAAAACAATAATTTCCACATAAAAAATCACATATAAGCACGAGGCTTAAATGGGAAGTAAAATTTTGAAAATCAATCGTTGGGTACCAGCATTCAATTTGCAAGAACTACACCTGCTCTGCACTTGCCAGTAAATCCCCATTCAATGGCAAAACAATAGCTTTTTCCCATTTTCCAATTCAGTCTCAGTATTAGAGTTATGCCGAAATGACACAGGTACTATATTATCTCCAAGTCGCGTAGATGCATCCCTTTTAGTCAGACAATTATTGTACTGCCTTAAATGTTTTTAGGGAGGAGAGGCGATGTGTACATTTACTTGTACATAGTTGACTTTTACAAGTTCTTATTGTCCTTAGAACAAACTTCACACAAAAGAATTACTTTTCAAGCCTTCTTCTTCTTTTTGTTGTTGCTGTTACTGGCACAGCAAGATGAGGGTATTCTATTCTATCTACAAAATAGCAAAACAACGAAAAATAAGTAAAATGCACTTAAGAATACAAAAGTGTTTATACGTATGTATCTGGGAGTTGTAGGTATAAAAAGTTACTTGCTATCACATCAAGCCGGTAGGGAATTGGAACTTGCTCATTCGCACACACCACTATTCATTAAGATTTAGTTTTATCGCTTTCACTTGGCGAACTTAGAAATGTTTCAAAAATTGTTATTTTATTCAATGATGATGATGATTATTGCAACATTGATTTATTTGTGTGACCCCCCGACCACCTACCCCAAACACTCCACTTCAACTTAATTCTCAACCAACATACTACCTTAATTCGTTGGCTTTACATGCAACCGCCGTACCCGTACCGTAGAACAACCACTGTGAAAACCATCATGGAGGACATAATAAAAAGCCTGGGGGTTACTGTGAACGACGAACCGACTCTCGTTGTCACACACAAAAAAAACGGACCAAAAAAAGATACTTATGTATGTATGCATCCGATTCATCCTATTCGTCGTCGTCGTCGCCGTTGTTGTCGTCGTCGTTGTTGTCGTCGAATTGATTTTTTCATTTCGTTTACTTTTTTTCAACAATTCGATTTCTCAGATTTCATTCATTATAAATCTTGACCAAAAACAAAGAAAATAGAAAACCAACTTTAATTCACTTTAATTACTTTTTTCCGTTTCCAAAGGCAATTCGTCGGCCTTTTTTCTGTTGATTAGAAGAGAAGTATCATTTTTGCTTGCTGCCACTGCTGCTCAATGCTCACAGAGTTTTGTCCAGTTTTTTTACTAAGGAATTTCATCGAATACACATTTTTTCTTGTTATGATTAAGTTGGGGGTACAACACCACACACTTCAAGTTTTTTCACCTCGTTTTAAGCGAAACACCTTTGCTTTTTTGCCAAAATTTCATTGAATTTCAATCGTGCGCACTTTTGATTTTGTTAATTTTATAGTTTTGATTTTTATTTGATTTTTTGAACGGCTTTTTGTTTATCCCAACCGTCGTGTTAAAATCATTATTTTAAATACACATATACACGTATTTTGGTTGGTTTGCACAAACACAATGCTGCCTGACTGCTGCTGCTGTTCTCGCTGCGCTCAACACAACACACGAAAAGTAATCATTTGTATCTATCCAGTTACAAAGTAATCACTTTATTTGTTAGGCCATAGATACTCGTTCACCACTCGTTCGTTCGTTTGTTATGTCGTTGTTGACTCGCTCACTCGCCCACATTTGTTGGTAGCAAGCAAAGCAAAGGAGTAATAATTGTGGTGGGTTAACATAACATCAGCAGCAGCAAGAAGAAGAAGAAAGAGCAGATAATCAGGTGCATGATTGTGTGATAAAAAATACAACCCTGTGCACATAACATTTAACAGCTGTCAATGGGAGTTATTAACAACAACTGATTTGTTTACATTACACGATTAGAGTTAAACTGTTAAATTTTGGTGTGTTGTTCTTTTAATTATCACGGTTTTGGGAAAATGTAGTGACATTTTCTTGGAAACACACAATGCTACCATTACAAATACAAAAAAACGTTAGAAATAGGTTTATTTATCTAATGAATGTATAACATTTGCCACAACACATTTCTAACTGCCAAAGTGAAATTAATGATCACCAGCAGAAGAAATTTGGTCAACATCAATTAACTCTTACAATGTTTGGTGTAGTATATCGCATAGGATTGTTATTATGAGTTTTGTTAATGAGCTTTGTATGGCATATGCATATTGTTTTTGTAATAGATTATTAGAATTAATGAAATGCAATTTAAAGAATAATGCTTTGTCCCGACTATTTGACGATTTTTAATACAACTTCATTATTTTAACTTAATTTAATTTAAAACTATAAAGACATAAAACATAGATAATAAATGCTTACATAAAACAGAATAATAAATGTCAAGAGTATAATTAAAAAGTTTTAAATATATTTTAATATGATGTTTTATATATTACAAATACATACCTACCTGTTGCCTACTTATAGTGTAACAAATGTAATACACCTATATGATATATTTTAAGTACATAATTGGCTTACAGCCTGCTTTCAAAAGATTTCGAATGAGTCTAAAAAAAAACCTTCCGTTTGAACGATTAGTTTTCATGTTTCTCTAAAAATAGTGGCTCCTTTGAATTCTTTTGCATAAAGTTTCACAAAAATAGACAGGTAAATTAGGCCTAAGAAATTACAATATTAACCAAAGTATTAAGAATATTTCAAACGTTTTCTGTAAGGAGGTTTTCTACTCATAGGCAATATATATTATTGCAGCCAATTGGGTTAGGAAAAAAACATTTAAAATGCATTCAGAAAAAGCCAAAGTTTGGTGCGGTTTATGGGCTGGAATCACGGGACCTTATTTCTTTTATTATGCAGCGGATCGTGAAATAATTGTGAATAGCGAGACCTGTCGTGAGATGATATCCAAACTTTTGTTTTGCCTAAAATGCAAGTTCTATATTTGTATGACATAAATTTCAAAAAGACGGATGCCACACAGCACGATTAACAATGGACTAATTAATAGGCGAGTTTGGTGAAGATTTTATGTTCCACTTTGGTCGTGCGATTTAATGCCTTAAGACTGTTTTTATACCCTTCACCTCGGAAAGGAGCGTATATTAACCTTTTCATTCCCTTTGTAACATCCCTAAATATTCCTTGTAGAACCCATAAAGTATCTTTATTCATAATTAACATAAAATTTTAAATCGATTTAAAGATTTCCGTTTGTCCGTCTGTCTGTTGAAATCACGATACCCACATTATTTGACGTAGAGCGTCAAAATTAGCAGAACAATTTGTATTGTGTCTAAGATGGTTGGTATTGAAAATGAGATATATCGATCCACGTTTTGGTATAGCCCGAATATAACGGCACCTCCCGATATTCGGTATTTTGATGATTTTTGCCACATTATTTCCTCGGATTTGTCTAAAAATGGGTATTTTGTTTGTCATAGCGGGTTCTAGCGCCGGTGGCGAAATATAGTATGTGTAGGACCACGTTCTGGTATAGCCCCCATATAACGGTACCTCCCGATATTCGGTATTTCGGTGATTTTTGCTACATTTTTTCGCGGATTTGTCTAAAAATGGGTATTTGTTGGTCATAGTGGGTTCTACCCCGGGTGGTACATAGTGTGTATAGAACACGTTTTGGCAATACAAAGGTACCTCCCGGGATCCACCTTACAGTCCATAAACAATTCTTTACAAAATCCAAGGTCATGTGGAGTTAATAAAAAAATTGAAAAAATTGCTTTCGTGGACTCATAAATTCCATTGAAAATGATTTAAAAAAATCACATAATTTTTCCTAATACAATTCCCAGAAAAATAATAGAGGCAAATGTCAAATTTTGTTGTTCCCCTTCCAAGTTTTTTCGTAGCCTCATAACAAGGCAACGCCCCCATTTGGTATACTTTCATGTTCAAAGGAATTGCAATTCGCAAGCGGAATCTGTTTAATGATTTAATATATCGTAAAGTTAATTTTATGCTAGTTATATTTTGGAATAAAAAAGTAGATAATAAGAGATCAATATTATTGCAAATAAAATTGTTTACTAAATCATAATTAATCAGCATAAATGCTAATGCCTATTACTTCCAATAAACTGGTATTGGCAATAATGCATAGAATAGTTTGACATGCAAATAAATAATAAACATTATGTAGAAGACAAGAAATTTTCGTTTTCTTAATATGTGAGACATGAAATTACAAATACGTTATAATATTTTGTGTTAAAGTATGAGATTTTTCCAAAAAGTTTTAATTCAAATCATGTAATAAAATTCAGATTGTTCGAAATATTTATGAATTCTTATATTAATTAATGAAACATGTATTAAAGAGAGAAAGTATTGAACTTACATATTAAAGCCGAGTTGAGTTTACTTTTACGAAAGCGGAATTCCTTCAATATTGCGCGAACTTCATCGCTTATATCACAAATTCTGCTATCACCCTGGAAAATAATTAAAACAAATTATTAAATATTTTCGTCAATTGTTAAAGAAATATTAAATCTGAACATAAGAACGGTCTCGTAATCATTCAAATGATTTTTTGTTACAATACACAAATTGTCAAGTGATTTTATTATCTTTTGTATATTTGTCATAACAGTTTTTTTCAATTATACTCAAATGCATGGATCTTTTACAGAAGCATCCTAGAACATGTATTTTTTCCAATTGAGAAATAAGCAAGTGATTTTATGATCTGCTATTTACAAAGATAATACCTAGAATAATTAGTAAGAACTTTCGTATTTTTTGTCATATCAGTATTTTTCAAGTCTTCCCAAACACACAAATCTTCCAGTGAGGCATCATACCAAGGTCAGGGATAAACAACAAAATTTCATTACCGCCCAAAAAAATGCCAAGTCCATTACTACATCATAACCTTCCCATCAACTTGCAATAATTTAAAGTTTAGCCAGAGCAGGAAATGGTTTTTTGTTTATAAGCTCTTCTTGCAACAGAGGAGAACATACACACCCTAATTAACAAAATGAAAAAAAAAAAACAAGGAAAAACTACTACTGTTGTCAATCAAAACAATGCCACTGAGTCATTGGCACACTGAATCACTGCGTTGTGCATTTTGGCGTTTTGTACAAAACATATTTTCACAAAAAAAAAAAACAATAACTTACCATGGTTTTTCAATAAAAATCAGTTGCGATTTATTAATTAGGAATAATGTTTTATAAAGCTATAGATTTATAGCTTGTTATACAGCAAGACAATGGAAATTTTACTACCCGATGAAGACCGCTTTCATTTGACACTATTTCTTATGTTAATTTCGTTTGTTTTTTGTTGCTGTAATATCAGTTAATTTTAGTTATCTAGCAGCAACAACAAAACCGTAGTGTGTAGTTTTTGTTGTAGAATTGTTTTTTTGCTGATATGTTGTTGATAGAACTGTCAAAGTCTGTTTTGTTTATGTTCTCTTGCGACGAATTGAAGTTTCAACAGTAGGTCGGTCTGTTTGTTAATGTATTGTAAAAAACCAAAGTGAGAAATGAAGCACTGAATTCACCTCCTTTGCGACTTTTTTAAGAGGTCTACCAAATACCCGAAGTATTGTATAAAAATACCATGGTTTTGTTTAACTAGAGTTGAATTCAATAACTGAGACCCCCAATTAAGTTTTATTTAGAAAATGTTTTTTACGTTTATTTTTATTAACTACCTTGCCTAGGGAGAACTTTGTCTTTATATGTATATATATTTATAAACGATATGTAGATTCGTATGCCCCCCATATAACAGTACCTCCCGATATTCGGTATTTTCATAATTTTAGCGACATTATTTATCGGAGTTATTTACTATTATTCACCGGAATCGTTTCAAATTTTGTATTGGAAGATCTGAATGGATACTACAACCTATGACAGAAAATTTCGTATGCAGGTTCACGTCTTTGTATTGCCCCCATATACCTCCCGATATTCAGTATTTTCATGATTTTAGCGACCCTATTTATCGGAATTATTTAAAATTTCGTATTTGAAATTTGTAATTGGCACTTCAGTTTATGACAAAAAAATTTGTAAGCAGGTCCACGTCTTCGTATAGCCCCCATATAACTGATTTCATTTAAGTGGTAGTTTTCGGATTTTTTTTTTGATATTTTTCAAGTTCCTCCCAAATAATGGAGGGTATTAAAATTATTTCGGCCCGGCCGAACTAAGCTGCTTTTTTACTTGTACTTTCTGAGTAAGTTGATCTCCCTAATAAAAAGAGATTTTCGCTTAAAAAACGCAGATTTGTTTGAAGTTGTTTGTTGTTGTTTTTTTGTTCGTACACCTCATTTAATACAACTTTATGACACCTATTAATCATTATATAGGCCCATACCAATGGCAGAAAAATACAGGTAGATGCATCAAAGCTTGGGAGCATTGATATGTCAAAATAATTTAAATGTTTTTTTCAAATATAAGTAGTTTTTTTTAAATGTTTTCTTATAACACGTCATTCGGATGTTATTATAATTCGAGTTTTTCAAACAATTTTCACAAATTTAAATAATTTTTCATTTAAAATTTTCAATTCCAAAATTGGTTTGACAGTTCATTGTCTCAGCAGCTGTGTCGATTCGTCTACCTATATTCTTCTACCATGGCCCATACCAAATGTAAATACGTTACGTGTAAAAATCACATGCAAACGCATCTATTTTTGTAGCGGCCTTACAGCAAATATGAGTAGGTAATCAACCTACAGATCCCTTATTACAATAAGAAGAAGAGACTCGTTGAAGCTTTTAATTTTAACCGCCCGTTTTACACCAAGCCATTCAATTTACCAGCGGAAAGGTTTATATTTTTTATATTCAACAATTTATATCCAACTTAATAATAATTAAAATAAAAAATTCATTCCTCTAGATGGGTTTTGATCGTTCCCTTATAGCTCTGGGCAAGAGTGATATGTACGGCCTGCCTTGGTTAGCCGGAACGGGTGGTATTCAAGCTTTGACAAAATACTGCAAAACTGTTGATATTGAATCTGTAAATATTCCTCGTACTTGGTAGGCTTTACGGTAAAAAGAGCAAATAGACATTTTTTTAAACAAATTCTAATTTCTTAACAGCGCATCATTGCAGCTGGGCCTGCAAAAATTCCGGGATGATTCACAAAGCATTAATACCGTTAAAGAGACGACAGTTATACCATTTCGAGTCTGTTCTAACCTTTTGTATGGCACACTTAAAATATATCAGCAGCAGGTCAATAATTTGTACAGTAAGTTGTCGCAAAACATTTCTCTTCATTTAGCAAAGTTATTTTAACGTTGCAAAAATATTTGGAACAACTCTAGTTTAGTAAAAACTCTTAGATTTTTTCGAAATTTTTTCCTGAGGTAGGTATTTTTACCCTGATCCCGGGAAACTATTTTTTTCTTGGGGGACGGACCCGGGACCCCAGATTTTTGACCCAAAAGTCCGGGATCAAGACCCCGCCTGGACCCGGATCCACTTACCCTATATATACAATATAGTATCGATTGAAAGCTTATGGAAATACCTATCCAACAAGTGGTCACATGAAGGGGTAAGTTGTCATGGTTCGGAAGTTATAGTCAAATTATCGATTTTTTGGACCCGGATTTTTTATGAAACCCCCAAAAAGTCAAAAAAGGTCCCATTATAGGGGTCAACAAAATTGTTTCCAAATTATAGCTGACACTCTTACCTTTCCAAAATGCTGCAATTTGTGCTAATACCTTCTTCGGTTCCAGAGATATGGGTCTTTCCATCCGCATAACCCGATTCTAACCAGTTCATTAAAATTATGTTTTTAATAAAAAAAGTGTTTATTTCGCGTAGCAGTCGTCGGAATAACAAAAGTTTTCTAAATTTGGCACTTTTGTAAATAGCCGGCCTTGGGCCGGGGCTTGAGATTTTCTCCTCTGGATATGTCCTACACCGGCTAACGCGAACCAAAGTTTTCTAAATTGGATACCTTTTGTAAGTAGCCGGCCTTCGGTCGGGGCTTGAGATTTTCACCTATGGGTATGTCCGACCCCGGCATAATTCATAATTTCGGCACTTTTTGTAAATAGCCGGCCTTGGGCCGGGGCTTGAGATTTTCTCCTCTGGATATGTCCTACACCGGCTAACGCGAACCAAAGTTTTCTAAATTGGATACCTTTTGTAAGTAGCCGGCCTTCGGTCGGGGCTTGAGATTTTCTCCTCTGGGTATGTCCTAAACCGGCTAACGCGAACCAAAGTTTTCTAAATTTGACACTTTTTGTATATAGCCGGCCTTCGGCCGGAGCTTGAGATTTTCTCCTCTAGGTATGTCCCACATCGGCTAACGCGAACCAAAGTTTTCTAAATTTGACACTTTTTGTAAATTGCCGGCCTTCGGCTGGGGCTTGAGATTTTCTCCTCTGGGTATGTCCCACACCGGCTAACGCGAACCAAAGATTTCTAAATTGGATACCTTTTGTAAGTAGCCGGCCTTCGGCCGGGGCTTGAGATTTTCTCCTCTGGGTATGTTCTACACCGGCTAACGCGAACCAAAGATTTCTGAATTTCATTCTTACGCAAAATATACCTTTTTTTATTGAAAACATAGTTTTAATGAACTGGTTAGAATCGGGTTATGCGGATGGAAAGACCCATATCTCTGGACTCAGTAAAGGTATTAGCACAAATTGAACCTTTTTAGAAAGGTAGAAGTGTCAGCTATAATTTGGCATCAATTTTGTTGTCCCCCATAATGGACCCTTTTTTGACTTTTTGGGGGTTTTATAAAAAATCCGAGTCCAAAAAATCGATAATTTGACTATAACTTCCGAACCGTAAGATCTTACCCAATCATGTGACCACTTGTTGGATAGGTATTTTCATAAGCAACGATACCAATATTGTCTTTATCGGGTAAGTGGATCCGGGTCCAGTCGGGGTCTCGAACCCGGACTTTCGGGTCAAAATCTGGGGTCCCAGGTCCGTCCCCCAAGAAAAAAATAGTTTCCCGGGATCATGGTTAAAATACCTATCACTGAAAAAATTTTCGAAAAAATTGAAGAGTTTTTACTAAACTAGAGTTAAGCCAAATATTTCCCATTTAAGACAACATTGGTTATGTGTAAAAAGTATATAAATATTGTACATTTGCGATTTTATCAATTTGACTTCATTTGACTGTTTTTATGATAGTATACGACTGTTTAAGATGATCATCATAAATATTATTGAAATATATTTCCTTGTTTTTCTTACGCAGAGTTATCCGAAGACTTAATAATTCGAAGCAGTAAATATGAAACAAAGGCCAAAAATAATCAAAAGAGGTAAAAGTATTGTAAGTAACTTTATTATTGACAACTATTTTGTACTTATATATTTTAGCAGTCAACGAACGGTTAAGAAACGTAGATTAACAATAACTCATTCAAATGACATTATCCAGAACTCCAGCATAAACTATTCAGAAATTTTAGAAGATTTGGAGAGAATATCTCAGGAGTCACACATTGAAAAGGCAAGTATTTACACTGTTTTCTTTCCAAATTTTAAATAAGTTTGCTTTTAAAATTTCAATTTAATTTCTCAGATTTCAAGCGATTCATGTAGCCAAATAAAATGTTCTTCAACACAATTTCAAATTCGTGAAATCACGATACGTGAAATTACCACAACATATGGTATTCCAGAGTTGGATGATGACTGTGGATTTGGCAATGCCACAAATGAAGACATAATAGATTTTCTTAATTATTCTGGACAACAGAGTAAGTAGTCTTCCATACACATAATTAAAAATAAATTTATGCATTTTTATTTCTAGAAAATTATCGAGCATCTGTGGCGGAAAGAATATCACTTAAAAGAAAGGTAAATTTTGAATTTTGTAATATAACATATATTTAAATTTGTGTGGGATTTTAATTTCAGTCCCAATGTGGTGAATCAGAGAATAATGCGAAACATCGTAGATATGGCGATGGTATGAAATAACATAATTGCTTTGTAAAACATTTCTAGAAGCATTTACATTTTATACTTTTTTTAGAAACAGCTGAACAAATTATATACTCTGGTGGCAATTTTATGGACACCGATCTCATATTAACTCCAAGTCGCTCAAAGGTATATCACATATAATTAAACATTGAATACATGTGATAAATTTTCTATTTTTTAGAGTGCCTCCAATCACATGGGGAATATTTTCAATCAAAATAACGTTTGCACAAGTAAGTTCCCATTTTTTCTAATTTTTAGCTATATACAGGGTGAGATGAAAAATCTGCAACCAACTTCAAACTGCTGTCATTTCTAAGCCACTCGTGACAGCTCATTATATTGTTTACAAGCGTACAAAAGTATTTTGGTGAGAACGTTCCAGAAAAAAGGTTATTCGTGATGGAATTCAGGCGTGATAGTGTGATTTCTTTATATTTGGCTGGAAGACCACAAGTGGCTATCGTTAGAGCACTCCAGCATTTATATGTGAATAAATCTTTTGTGTCTCGTACCATCGCTCGTTACCGCGATACTGGAAGCGTAGCCCGACGTCAGAAAAGGACGGAAGGAAACAGCAACATCAGCAGAAATATTTCGAAAAGCAAAGAAGTGACGTGATCGAAACCCGCGTCGCAGTGGCCGAAAAATGGCTCGTGAGCTGAACATATCGCAATATTCCATTCGGCAAATATTAAAAAATTAGCTCGGGGTAAAGCCATTGAAATTCCAAATTCCAAATACCGCAACAGAACAGACTCAAAAGAGCTAAAGAGTTGCTTCGCTTGGCCGAAAGTGGTAAAAAATACCAAAGTGCCGATCACTATTCGGGCAGGGTGTGACGGTTTCATTGGACGTTTGAATGCCATAATTTGTGCCAAAGGTGACCAATTCAAACAAATCTAATCTTATTCTAACATTTAATGATATTTCCTACATTTTTGCTTTCATGCAATGAAATTTAAAAAAATTTAAAAATTATGGCGTTTGACTTTGTTGCAGTTTTTTATCTCACCCTGTAGGGAGCTGTATCATAATTGATCGATAGTGGAACCTGACAATATGTGCTGCATGTGCATGTGAGATATGTTACAAAAATAATATACCTACTCTTCGTCGCTTGGCAGAGTTCTAAAATAATCTAAATAAATTTTCAAAAATTACATTTTATTTGTAGATAATACCCAAATCTCTTTCCACTCTTCACAGTGCCCGAGGCGTAAGGTAAGAATATATTGTATATATAGAGTTTGTACAATACTCCATTATTTTTCGTATTTTACAGAGTGGTTACGAAGAAGATGCTGTATGTGCAAAACGTCTAAAATTAAGTCATGGTAAGAAATGGGGAACCAAAACAACAGCTTATTCAAATTCGTTTTTTTTCAGATTCTACTATAAATTACAAAGATAGTACATGTAATCTTATGGCGAATGATTTAGTGGCAACCCCCTGTCGTGAAAGGTAGTTAATTTTCGTTCAATTGATATCCGATTTGAATATTGTTTAAATTGTAGAGGCACCATTGAACTGCACAGTAATATTTTGAAGGATATTAAACCAGAAATAAAAGATGAATTCGATGTCAGCTACAAGGAAAATCTTCCACCTGGCGATTTTCATAATATTAGTCACATAAAGAACGACGAAAACGATTCCACTGATATCAAAAAGAAATCTTTTCTAATAATAGATCAGTGTATTAAACTGGAAGACAAAGACATGATTGATCAAATAAATAGACCCATCAGAAATTTGCGCGGTGTAACAAAGATGAGTTTTAAGAAATTGCAAATTAAACGAATGCTGCAGGCGAAAGAACTTCTGAAACGTTTTAACAAAAGGCAAGTCCTAAGCAAATTACAATCTGAAAATTATTTTAATTTACGTTTTTACTTTAAGATCTCTGTTATTTGCTGCAAAGCTAAAGGAAAAGTCTGGGGATCTCAATAAATCAAAATTCCAAAGAGAATACATTAGTTTATTACATGATATATTAAAACCATATTACAAGGAAGACTGGGCCTTTGAGATTTATCCAAAGTGGAAGCAGTCTGTAAAATCACCACGAAAATCCAAAAAACTGCATAACCAAAAGCGGCAAGACGTTGAAAAATCAACGCCCATTCCAATGCAAATTGATGACAATTGCAATGTGTTGTACAATGATAATCTACATGTGGTTCAAGATGGAAATCCAGAGAAAATATCATTTAAAGACAATGCCTTCAATATGTCCGCAAATGCTGAAGAAATGCCTCAGTCAAATAATTGGCGACCATATTATGTAATGATACGTTTGTTATATATGTGGCAAACTTCTGGACCAGAAATTGATGCAAATAAGTTTTGTCAATCGCCGAGGAATCGCATTGATAAAGCTTTGGCGTTTTCGTCGTTGTTGGGTAAGTTTTTGTCATATATTAAAATTTTTATTAATATTTTTAAGTTTTTTTTTTCTTTTAATGGAATAACAAAGTCATGAACACACAATGTGAGATAAAAGAACTGCAACAATGTCAAACGCCATATTTTTTTTTTAATTTCGGATATAGCATCAAATTTCAGTATAAGTTTAGATTTTTTCGAATTGCTCACCTTTGGCACGAATTATGGCCTTCAAACGGTCCAGGGGAACCGTCACATGCTGACCAAATTTTGCACTGCGGTACTTTGGCCCATTCCCGGCGAAGCGCTTGCTTGAGGTGATCGACACTTTGGTATTTTTTAGTTGCCGAAGGGAATACTGCTTGTATAAAATATAATGAGCTGCCACTGGAATAATTTTAAAAGCTGTCGGCTTAGAAATGACAGCAGTCTGAAGTTGGTTGCAGTTTTTTCATCTCACCCTGTATAGCTAAAATTATCATCTCAAAGAGATAACATACACTCTTGACAAAGATTATAGCAAGTTCATTGCATAATTGCACAAGGTTCTATAACTAAGAAAAGAAATACGACCTGTGACCAGAGGGACGGATATGCACAAAGCGGCTAGACAGCCGAGTTAGCTTTCCATGAAGACCATGGAAAGCTAACTCGTCTCCTTCGCTGTCATGTGATGTGTAGAAATTGTGATGGTATTAATCTATGATGGGTCAGGATTATATCTGTCGGCAAATCCGACTGATACTCTTAACTTATTTCAAATTGTTTATACCCTCCACCATTCTATGGATGGTATATTAGCTTTGTCATCCCGTTTGCAACTTCTCGAAATAGGCAGTAGGCAGGTTAGTTCGTAAATGGGGCATATCGGTCCAAGTTTTAGTATATCCCTCATATATTGTTACCTCCCGATAGTCGGTATTTTGATTATTTAAGCAACATTATTCACCGGAATCGTTCCAAATTTCATATTTGAAGTTCGTATGGGTACTACAACCTATAGCAAAAAATTTTGTATGCAGGTCCACGTCTTCGCATAACCCCCATACAACGGTACCTCCCGATAGTCGGCATTTCGGTCATTTCAGCAACATTATTTACCAGAATCGTTTCAAATTTCGAATTGGAAGATCTTAATGGGTACTACAACCTATGGCAAAAAATTTCGTATGCAGGCCCACGTCTTCGTATTGGCCCCATATGAGGGTACCTCCCAATACTCCGTATTTTCATTTTTGCGACATTATTCTCCGGAATTTTATAACCATCCGTATAACGGTTTTCAATTAAGTGGTAGTTTTCGATTTTTTTTTTTTTTTGAAAAATTTTAAGTTCCTTCCGAATGGTGGAGGGCATTAAAAGTACTACTTGTTTTATCTCGATTATTTTGTCTTTTTCAGTGCTGTCAAAATCACGTTTTGTCGTAATCACTCAACGTTATAAATCCATTGAAATGGATAAAATTGTTCTGGGCAAAGCTGCCAAAAACATTTTGGAGAAAAAATAAAGTTGTTTCTAGTTTTTATATAAATATTTTTGTAAAAAATCAATCAAGTAATTCAATGTCTTGTTTGGAGACGAAGAAGAAATCTATTAGAAAATTTCCAACTGCAATTCCTTAAAAAAAAAAAACTTTTTAAAGTGATGCGTATCGATAAAAAAAATTGCATTCTCACAAAAGTTTCACATTATATGGATAATCAAAATACTTTTACGATTTGTATTGCAGTGGAATTTTTTTGTTGTTAAACTATTTGTTACATAATTTGAAATTGTTATTTAAAAAAAAAAGATATATTTGTTTCCATATCTTCATACCAAAATAATATGAATTAATTACATGTCGTTATCTGAATTAATAAAGGTTCCTCATAGCTCAAATATTTGGATAATTATTTTCTATACGCAGGAAAGAAAAGCAATCCCGGTGGAAGAGGCTATGAAAATAACAGATATCCCGGGAAAAACAAATACGAGAAAAAATGATATTTGAATTCAAGTAATCATATTGACCCCACAGTTGGGAGACTACAATATGTAACGACGATTCGATATCTGTAAAACAAACAGAACTGCAACATTAAATAAAAACTCAACATATTTTTACATTAAATGGATAATTAAAATATCAATAATTTTCTTTTATTTCATTCTTTCTATAAAGTTTTTTTGTCTTCCATTCATTTTTACTATTTGCTAACAAGTTATGTTACATTTTCAAAATAGATTTTTTAAACAAGTTGTATATTACTAAAACACACATACACTTATCATTTTAGTTATATACCTATATATATCGAAAAAATTTCAATATTTTCAAATGCCAATTTGTTGAGCCAGACCTGTGTACACATGTAGGGACACAAAACCAATTAGTGAGGCAACAAATGCCTTCAATGCTATCGTAGACCAGGGACCAAAACTGAGAACACTTAATAGGCCCTCCAACCAGACACCCTTGAAAATTGTCACCACCAACAGGATGGTGACCAAAGGTTTAAGGGCCTTGTTCAGATCATGGCGGGTGAACATCCATACCAATGTGGCAGTGGTAATATGTTGAATCTAACGAAATAAATAAAAGTCATAGAATTAATTAACTCTTCTTGGTTTCAGTAACTTACCAGTAAAACATTCGATTCCAGACATTTTTGTATATAAATCCAGCTGAATTCTGTACCTCTCGCACCGACCCACAACATAATACCGCGTGACAAAACCACCTCTGCAGCAGCCCATCCCAGGCCAGCAGTAATCAATTTACTATGTCCCTTGCCGGGTATACGTGAAAGAATCACAGCAAAGCCCAAAAGATCTGCTATATCCACACTACAGCGCAAGAATTCCTAAAAAAGGTAAAACGACGATAATCACACCAGATAAGCTTTTGTAATCTTAAGATAAAAAAAAATTCATTTGACTGTACTCCATCTCTTGGGTACAATAACCTACCGCCAAGAAATTAAAATCGCCGGTTCCACCTCCTAGTGAATCCGAATCGAAAAATGTGGCCAGTACCAGCATTTTACATAATTGTGTGAAAACATAAATACCACCAGCTTGTATACATTTCCAAAATGCCCCATATTCTGACCTAGAAAAAGGGATTTTCGTTAATTATTAAATGTCATGTTTTTTTTTTTTTCATCTTCACCGTCCACTTGTTAATTACAACTACAACAGCAATACTTACAGGCCGGAATATTTATAGGTCATATAATATGGCACATAGACCAGTGCAACACAATTACCGAAATGATAGAGAGTCATTTTAATTCATGCAATTTCTTGCTTATTTAATTAAAGATAACTTCTTTCAATTAATTGGCACGTCGAATTTATTTATAAAAAAAAAGTGCTGATCAACCTGGCCTTTGGTTGGAGAAATCGAAAGAAGTGTCAAAATATAAAGTCCAAAGCAAACATGAAAAAATAACACATATAGAGATACGTAGACGTGTGGATGGTGATTTGCTACGTATGGTGGACGTAACAGTGTTACCTAAAATTCGTTGTACTCAGTTGACGTTTTTCACCACAGAAGTAAAATACATGTGTGTTGAAAATAGAGACATTAAATATGAATGTTTGTAATTGGAAAATATAAAAATTGAGAAAGTTTGGAAAATTATCAATTTTTACAACATTTTTAGTTAAGATATGCACCTAGCATATTTGGATAATATGGACGTACAAAACATTTTACCATATTATGAACCTGGCGTATGTGGGTGACATGGACGTACAAAACATTTTACCATATTATGGAAGTTGAATATATGTCGAATTTTAGGTAACGCATTCATGTGTTACTACTGTGTAAGTATAGCCCTGTTCCTTAATTATTTAATAGAAAAATGCTTTAAAGGACTACTTTTCGAAAAAAAAACTTTGAAATGGAAAAGTAATAAAACGTTTTAATAAAGCGCTATATTGTAGTTTTTATGCCCACCAACATGCTATGGAGGGTATATACAGGGTGAGATAAAAAAACTGTAACAAAGTCAAACGCCATAATTTTTAATTTTAATGAATGAAAGCAAAAATGTCGGAAATAGCATCAAATTTTAAAATAATTTTACATTTGTTCGAACGAATGGCACGAATTATGGCCTTTAAACGGCCAATGAAACCGTCACACTGCCCGATTGTTGCTCAGAGTTATTTTGGCCCATTCCCGGCGAAGCGCTTGCTTGAGGTGACACTTTGATATTTTTTAGTGCCAGCCTTGCTTTCCAAAATACTCCAGACACAATAGTCCAACGGATTGGTATATAACGGAAAATTCTCACCAAAATGCTTTTATACGCTTGTAAACAATATAATGAGCTGTAACAGCTTTCGGACGAATGGCTTGGAAATGACAGCAGTCTGAAGTTGGTTGCAGTTTTTTCATCTCACCCTGTATATTAGGGATGAAATTAAACGATAGGGAGAAATCTATTGCTTTGAACGGAAATTGGCGGTTTCAAATAGAATCGCACTAACATTTTATATTTTTGATGGAGAATTTACACATTCACATTTTTGCGATATCAACATTATGTTAGCCCATACCGCAGCATCATATTCTTCAAATATTATTGAAATTGTTATTTTGGTAATTTTTTATTCGTGCATTTATATGGAAGCCACAAGCACATAATGGTTTTCCATAAACAAAAAAGTATTTAAATTTTTTAAAAATACCAAATTTGAAACTAAAATTGTCCCCTTTTATTCTTTACATTCGGCTTATACAAGATTAAATTTATCCTCAAAGCGCCACGCAAAGATTTTTCCATTCACCTCGGAGCTTACATTTAGCTCAAACTTTCGGAAATTTTACCCTACGTTACATCTACTATACGTTGACGCCTTCGTATTCTTGCTCACCAGCATTTGCTGTCATATTACTGTACATTGCAGTTATTTTTGACAATTGTTGTTCTACCACGTATCATATCTCTATGTGTATGGATTAGTTTTTATTTTTACAAGAAATACGAAAATATTTTCTTTTAATTTAAAAGAATTTCATGAGTTATGCAAAAAAAGTTTGTGATAAACGTGAATCCCCGAAAATAGTGTTTATTTATAAGCAATAAAACAAAAGAAAAGTTAATGACATTAAACAAAGTGCAATAAGAAAAGAAAAAAACACAATCTGGAATAGTGTTGCCCATCACAATTGCCATTAGGTGAATGAGTGAATGACGAATTGTGGTGATTTGATTCCGAGACACAAGGCCAAAGTGTAACTGCTGCATAATTGAGCAGTTGTAGATTATGAGATGCAAACACGACGACGTTTACATCAGCACGACCAGACAGCACAGGAAGAGGGCTATCCTCTAATAATACAACAACAACAGCAGCAGCACCACACACAGGCCAACCAGCAGCAATTTCAAAACACTTATCCACACAATCCCTTGTTTGGATCTAACGGTGTTGGCCCTTCAGCCACATCGCCTCTATTGAATTCTGGTGCACAACAGCAAGCAAACTTTTATCCCCAGACATCTTTAAATATCGGAGGTAGTACTGGTGGAAATCACAATCAAGTGCCTATAGACGACACAGACGACGATAAATACACAAAAGCAGGACGACAGTGGAATTTACGAACATTATCTTCGCGCATTCAACAGGCAACATCGGGACAAGCGATACGCAATTTTATCCAACAGCCTTTGAAAGCGGTAACAGGCAACTACCAGGAAGCGGAAATACCAAACAACGCTGTACAAGACAACTTTTCGGGTCGAGGTCATCCAATACAAGACATAGAAGACGATTTAGAAGATCTCTTTGATAAAGAAAGTATTGTAGTAATGGCTGCCCGAGATCGTACCGGTGAATTTAACAATGCGATTCGATCGCTGCAATCGCGTAATATATCTCGTGCGGTAAATATACGGGACCCAAGGAAGGCCAAACAGGTTCAGAGTTATTCTGAATTTATGATGGTGGCAAAGATGATAGGCAAGAACATTGCCAGCACATATGCCAAATTGGAGAAGTTAACAATGTGTAAGTAGATTGGGGTAGATTTGAATAATTGTCATTTTATTTGTTATTTGTTGTAGTGGCCAAGAAGCGCACGCTTTTCGATGACAGACCCCAGGAAATTCAAGAACTTACCTACATTATAAAGGGCGATTTAAATGCCTTGAACCAACACATAGCACGACTGCAGGAAATTTCGAAAGACCAACGTCGTACGGTGAGCGGCAAGCATTTAGTATCACATTCCTCTAACATGGTATTGGCCCTTCAATCGAAACTGGCTAGTATGAGCACTGACTTCAAACAAATCCTTGAAGTACGAACCGAAAACCTTAAACATCAAAAATCTCGACGTGATCAATTCGGCCAGGCGCCTGTGTCAATTAGCTCAGTTTCACCTGCCACAGCTAAGCAAGGTTCCCTGCTGCTAAGCGAAGAGAATCAAGAAGTTAGCATTGACATGTCATCGGCCAACGACACATCTCCCTTGCTTGGAGGAGGTTCGACGTCACAACGCATACAAACCCAACAACAGTTAGCCATTTATGACGAGTCCGATAATTATGTCCAACAGAGAGCGGAAACTATGCAAAACATTGAATCGACTATTGTAGAATTGGGTGGCATTTTCCAACAATTGGCTCACATGGTTAAGGAGCAGGAAGAAATCGTGGAACGTATCGATACGAATATACAAGATGCTGAACTAAATATTGAAGCCGCCCATGGTGAAATACTAAAATATTTCCAATCTGTATCGAAAAATCGTTGGCTTATGATTAAAATATTCGGTGTTTTAATATTTTTCTTTATATTCTTTATTGTTTTTATGACATAGTAAATTTGTAACCCAATGATACTACACTGATACTACTAACTATTATTGCCTATAGATATTCCCCGATTTCCTCCAAGGAAACTATCTATGCGAAAAAAAATACTTTGGATGTAAATTAAAATCACAATAGCTGAGTATAACGAAAACTAATTATGTAATTTAATTTAAAAGGAAACACTATATGATATGTAAATGAAAGGAATATACATGAATACAAAAATAAAATTTGTTAAATTTTGAAAATGGTCAAGCTTCTTTTTTTTTAGAAAATTAAATTTGATTTTGGAATGTATTTTTGTATAGAAGTCCAATGAAAGATGTAGTTAATATGTGCCGTTGTTTGGCTGAAAACTAAAGGATCTGATTCTATGAAATGTGTAAGTTTGATAAGTTGATTTGAAATTATGGCTACGGCTTTTACTCTGTTCCGGAAAAAACCCTATTGTAAACATATGAGACAATTTTAATTGTAGAAAATTCAGGGCAAGATAAAAAAACTGCAACCAACTTCAGACTGCTGTCATTTCTAAGCCACTCGTCCGACAGCTATTAATATTATTTCAGCGACAACTCTTTATATTGTTTACAAGCGAACAAAAGCATTTTGGTGAGAATTTTCCAGAAAAGAAGTAATTCGTGATGGAATTTAAGCGTGATAGTGTGTTTTCTTTATATTTGTTGTCAGTTGTGCAAGATTGTAAAAGACAGGCCTTTTATTTAAACTACGATTGAATTCGATCTACTCACCTCTACCCCCATGGCAATCGATTAGTCATTTGTCGACCTATGAATCTCTAACTCTTTTGATAACAATTTGTTTTCTTTTTTGATTTTGGTTTGATTCGTGAGTAAAAAAAATATTATTTATGGATACGCCATCGCTTGTCATGTCCAAGGATATAAACAGTTATTTCGAAGGACTCCTTAAAAAGTAAGCAATGATTTTTATACGTAATCTATAACACAGAGTGGAAAGGCCAGCAAAGAAAAAAAAAACAATCTCCTGACTTTAGTTATTTGCTTAGCCCTAGCCCTTCTTTGTCATAAATATATTTTTTCATTGCTTTAATCCACTTCTAGGGTCCATGGCCTTTATATAATACAAATAACCGATCGGGATGGTGCGCCCGTTATGCGTGTTAGTCAAGACAAGAATGTAGATTTTACATTAACGCCCTCCTTTATATCGACCTTTACGACGGCCAGCGATCAGGCTGGAAAATTGGGTCTGGGACGTAATAAGACCATCATATCGATGTATTCAAATTATCAGGTTAGTAATTTCGTTAGAATATTTAGCACTCCAATGGGATTTTATTTATACAATTAGAACGTTAGTCCTACTCCAAACCTCATATATATTCATGATCATTTCCACCTGTTTTAATTAGTTATTGTAATCTTTCCACCATTCAATTTCCAGGTTGTTCAGATGAACAAGTTGCCATTAATTCTAACATTTGTCGGTTCGGAAAATTGCAATACGGGACACATTTTGGCATTGGAACATCAACTCGATGCCTATTTGGAAGATATGAGACTTGCTGTCAGTGAATCTTAAAAGATTTCCGCTTTAACCATCCAATTGATTATAATAATTCTTCTCGTAAATATTTACATATTTGTAAGTTTGTTTGTAATGTATTTATATGTGTATAAAACTTTTGCTAAACAAAAATAATAAAAACCTTTTTATATAAATAAAAACAAGGACATTTTTATCTAATTATCTTTACATTTATTTAAAAAAATGTCTATATAAATACATCAAAAAAAAGGAATGATTACTTTTAGTTATTATAACACTTTGAAACTTCCTTGACAATGAGATAGATGATGATAAACAGAGATTTCAACCAAATTGTTTAGGGAAAGTAATCCAATTTTTATTACAAAAATATAACTGTTCTCAAAGAAATGCTTTTTGTTTTTGTATTTTACATAAATAACTGCCTGCATTAATGTGGGATTTTAGTAGTAGTTGTGTGTGTGTTTTTAGTGCATTCATTCACTTTACAATTCATCTTTGAAACGTTGTTCCTCGGCATGGAATGCTTCCTCATCACAAGCAGCTGGCGTTTCGAAATCAAAGAAGTACTCACAGCGATTTGGTTCACTTACCGATGTAATTCTCGTTTCTAAAGCACATTTTAAATGTACAATTGCCGAGCGTTGTGGTCCATTCCAACAAGAGGCGCCGTGTGCATATTTTTGTTTGGCATATTTATGCTCTCCATCATGTAGCCATTGATCCCATCTGCCTAAAGTTGTTTCTGCACCACCGCTACGTCCCTGCTGAGATGCCCTTTCGAATGGACATAATGTGTATACATATTCACGATCTTCGAATTTATAACATTCACCCTCGAGAATTGCATACTCATCGTGAGGACCATAATCTTTGGAATTCTGATCATCAATGTCACGTATTTCTTGATCAATTTCACGAATTGTACGCTCGACCTCGGCAAAGGAGTTACGTGCATCATTGGCCATGTTGATGATACGCTGAGTTTCGGCATCATATTCCAGTGTTGGGGGATTGGTATCTTGTACAGTACCCTCACCAACATCAGCTTCGTCATCCTCATAGGCCTCCTCTTCTTCCTCGCCATCTTCAGGATATGTCTGAGGACGATGGATTTCTAAAATGTATGGAATATAATATTAAAAGAGTAAGTCTACTTAAATTAAGGGACTGTTTCTATATGACAATTTCGAAATTTGTGTTTGAAATTTTCAAAAATATTGAAAACTTCTTTTGGAATTGTGTTTTTTTCGAATACGTCATTCAGAAACAAGTAGCTATCATTACCTTCACCCCGTTCATTGTACTCGGTTATCATATCATCAGCTTCCGATTTTCCCTGTTTCTCTTTTCCAGCATCATCGCCATCATTGTTTTCATTTGGCAGTTGAGGAGGTTTGAAAATACCCTGGCCAACCATTAACATGGGTTTAATGCGAGGCCATGACAATGTTATAAACGCATCTAGATCAACACGTTCACGTTCGTCGAGAAAGTATTTAGCTTCTTCGACGCTGACAGCTCCATTGCGATCCTTGTCTAGATTAATATCAACTTGTAATTCAATGATTTCCACAAAACCATCTTTATTTGTGTCATAGTGCATAAATTTATCGGCAGCCTCGTTGGGTAGTTGCAAATCATCTTCCTTCTGTTGAGCTTCGGTTTCTTTATGCAGTTCTTTGAAATAAGCAATTGCTTCGGATTCTAGTGATTCGGCCTGTTTCTTAAGTTCTTCCTTTTCCTTCTTCAGAGCTTCCTGTTCCTGGCGACGTTGCTCCAATTCACGGCGACGACTTTCCCGTTCAGCCTTAAGCTGTTGCCCACGAGCCACCATTTCAGAACGTTTAGCAGCACCCTTCTTCAGCATTTCCGCTTGAGATTTTCTTTGTTCCCTCTCGGCACGACCCAACTCGTCACATGAATTAGAGCATTGACCAGTTTGGTATTCATCACTGCCATCACAACAATCACAAATACCATCATTCACCCTCGAGCTGGGAAGATCTTGCGAACGATGACCTTGATTTACACAATGAAACACACCATGGGGACAAGCGGAAGTGCCCGGCTCATCACTGCCATCCGGACAATCACAGTAGTCATCATTGATTTGTAAAAATTTTAGCGTTTTGCTTTCATCTAAACACTTCCATGTATTATCGGAATTTGGCCTATATAGAGTGGCTTTTGTCAGAGACACTCCAATTGGACGTGGAACTTCAGCCAATGAAAGGTCAGTCAACGTCGTAAGTACACAAAGACACAAAAAACCCGACGGCAAAATGCCACAAAGTTTTTTACTTGTTAACATTTTCTTATTGTGTGGTGTCTGTTGTTGTTATTGGTGGGTGTAATGGATTTTTTCGGAGAAGAAAATGCACACGCACTTACGTGTTCTTTCTTTCTAATCAGCAACTTTTCAATTGTAATTTTTGTAAATTTTGCAATTTCTCCGATGTGTTAGTGACGAGTGCCGGCTTTAAGAATATATCGGAATCGATTTTAATCGACTTGATATGAACATGCGAAAATCGATTTTAAGCCGATTGAACAAAATCGATAGATCGAAAAGTTGACATAAATTCGTTTGCTCGCTTACACGAAGAATTTTCTCTCATGGGATTTCTTGATCAAGATATGGACTGTTCTGGACTTCAAAAATGTAGAAATGTTTACTAAAATAGCTTATTTTCCTTTCCAAAATACTTCAAACACAATAGTACAACGGATTAGTATCCGGATATTTTGGTGGCCATTGTGTGCTAAAAATCGAGCGAGAAACCTCATTTTGTAACAATGGCGCGTGTTGAGTGCGATCTTGCTGAGTCCTGTTGGAATGTCCAAGGTCTACAACCAAAATGTTTGTGAGCCCAAGGCTTTAGTACACCCTGCAGAATATTTTCGCAATAATATTCGGCATTTATTCTTTTGCCACGGTCGATTAATACGAGCTCACTCTTTAGCTCTTATGAGTCTATTTTATTTCTGTTGCGGTGTAAGTTCTTGAACTTTTTGGAATTTTAATGGCCGAGCTCATTTTTCAATATTTGGCGAATGGAATATTGCGCTATGTTCAGCTTACGGGTCATTTTTCGCGCACTACGACGCGGGTTCCGATCAAGTCGCTTCTTTACATTTCGAACCATTTCTGCTGATGTCGTGTTTTCTTCCGTCCACTTCTATGACGTCGGGCTACGCTACCAGTATCACGGTAACGAGCGATGATACGAGACACAAAAGATTTATTCACATTTAAATGCTCGACTGCTCTAACGATTGCCACTCGTGGTTTTCCAGCCAAATATAAAGAAATCACACTATCTCGCTTAAATTCCATCTCGAATAACTTTTTTCTGGAAAATTCTCACCAAAATGCTTTTGTACTTATAAACAATATAAAGAGCTGCCACTGGAATAATTTTAACAGCTGTCTGACGAGTGGCATTAGAAATGATAGCAGAGTTGATTGCAGTATTTTAAGGGCGCAAGTATATAAGAAGCTTGAAGTCATGGCTGGGAATATTTTGTGACATTTCATAAAGGAATTACAGAGCCGCACCAAAATCCTGCCGTCGGTTTCCTTTATAATTTGACATTAATATGCCTAGCCATGATTTCAAGCTTTTTATGTACTTGCTCCTAAAGTTTTTCTCATAAAAGTTGCAAAAATGATTCAATTATTTCCAGCTATGGATTTTTATCTCAAAATAAGTGTAAAAAGTATTTTTTTCAATTTGAGCTATATCACCCTATGTCATGGAATGTGACAAGATCGAAGAATTTTAGAGAAACCACTGAAACTCATATTTCTTTCCAGCAAACTATAGACGTATAAATTGGGCTTTATTAACAGGGCTGCCAAACTCATACCAACGAATAACGGCCTCGAACTATCGAACAATCATCGATTGTATAATATGTGATAACAAAACGAATCGAACAAACGAAAAAGAGAACTGTCAATTAACATGACAAACTTCGACCGAATGAAGGCATTTTAGGAAAAGTTTCAAAGGTTTTTCTCCAAAAAGTAAGTAAATACTGCTGCAAATTGTTTGTTCAAATACATAATCGTTTGAAATAATTAAAATGTTGCAGACAAAACGGTTATTTGTTGAGGAACATTACCGACTTACATAGACCAACACCCGCCTTTTAATTTTCTTGTGTGTTGTGATTGTTGTGGCTGAAGAGCACTAGACGACGACGGCAATGGCTTTCAACTTCACAGCATTTACATATATAATTGCTTTGATAGGGGATGCGTTTTTAATATTCTTTGCAATATTTCATGTTATTGCATTCGATGAATTGAAAACGGATTACAAGAATCCCATAGATCAATGTAATAGCTTAAATCCGGTAAGTAGTTCTATTTTTACCATGGCATGGGTATTAGAGTGGGGAGTGGACAATTATTTATTTTAATATGTAATTGCAGCTAGTCCTACCGGAATATATTCTACATATATTCCTGAATTTATTGTTTTTGGTGTGTGGAGAATGGTTTTCGTTGTGCATCAATATACCCTTGATTGCCTATCATATATGGCGGTAAGTTATTACGTTTCATTACAATAATTACGGATAAATGATGTCATTGTTCTTTGTTTTGTTTTCACGTTTGGCAGTTACAAAAATCGCCCCGTAATGTCTGGACCAGGTCTATATGATCCCACAACGGTGTTATCATCGGATAATTTAACCAAAAATATGCGTGAGGGCTGGATTAAATTGGCAATCTATTTAATTTCATTCTTCTATTACATATATGGGTATGTACTTCATTGCTCTGTGCCATGCATTATTTTTGGCACTCAGCCCTTGTTTAATAGTGAAACGAATTAACATGTGTGCTATTTATTTTTTGTTTTAATTTAATTTTAGAATGGTTTATTCCCTAATATCCACGTAAAAACGCATAAGCATATTTCTTCTCTGTATGCTCGCTCGTCCTCAACGTCTTCATCGTTCCCCCCATTACATAGCAACAAACAAACAAGAGAAAAACGTACACAACAAAAGATCAAAATCCTGAAAATTTTCAAAAAAAAAAAAGTGTGTGTGGATATGTAAGCACTTGTTTTTTTTTTTTTCTTTAATATAACAATTTCTTAATATTTAATTTTCTCTGTAATGTATTTTAGTCAAAAGGAAAAAAAAAATTATAACAATAAGAAAAAAAATGTTTAATTTATACCTGTCTGTTGTTTGGTTATGTCCGTTGAGAACGTTTACCAATTAGATTAAACTACAACATAGATTATCACGAGGCCCTACTAACATTATCTTATCTCAGAACATTAACTTTTCCTCAAGTTGTTAATTGCTGCGGCAAATAGTTATAACATTTATGGATAAATGTTTGGCCTTGGGTAACTTGTTGACCGACGAAATAAATTCTTGGGATTTTAATGTGGAAATTCTAAGATAATTTAACTGGGAATTGATTACTGTAGGCTTAAAACCCCGCGGGCTTTGTATTCTACATTTCGTCTAAATAGAATTTGCAAACTATGACATACAGGGTGAGATGAAAAAACTGCAACCAATTTTAGACTGCTGTCTTTCCAAAGCCACTCGTCCGACAGCTGTTAAAATTATTTCAGTGACAGCTCATTATATTGTTTACAAGCGTAGAATTTTTTAGAAAACAAAAGTTATTTGTGATGGAATTCTAGAGTGATAGTGTGATTTCTTTTTATTTGGCTGGAAAACCACAAGTGGCTATCGGTAGGGAACCTCAGCATTTAAATGTGAATATATCTTTTGTGTCTCCTACCATCGTTAAAAAGCGGACGGAAGAAAACAGCACCATCAGCAGAAATGGTTCGAAAAGTACAGAAGCGACTTGATTGAAATCCGAATCGCAGTGGCCGAAAAATTGCTCGTGAGCTGAATATATCGCAATATTCCATTCGGCAAATATTAAAAAATGAGCAAGGCCATTAAAATTCGAAAAAGTGCAAGAAGAAAATAGACTCAACAGAGCTAAAGAGTTGCTTTGCTTGATCAAAAGTGGTGAACTGCCGAATTTGGTTTTCTCCGATGGGAAAACATACGTTGCCCAGCAGTTTGTAAACAAACAAAATGATCGTGTTTATTTGCCAAAGAGGTCAGCTGAAAATGTGCACCTTCGGTTAGCCACCAGAACTCAAGCGCCGGCCATGGTGATGGTGTGGGCCGCCATAACAGCCGATTGTAGCTCTCCGATCGTATTAATCGACCGTGGCATCAGAATAAATGACGAATATTATCTCGAAAATATTCTTGAGGTTGTATTAAAGATTTCGGCAAGCAAAATTTTTGGTTTAGACCTTGGACATTCCAACAGGACTCGTACTCAGCACGCGCAACCCAAGAATGGTTACAAAATGAGGTTCCTCGCTTTATTTCCAGCGTGCAATAGCCACCGAAATATCCGGACACCAATCTGTTGTACTATTTTGTCAGGAGTATTTTAGGAAGCAAGGTTGGCACTAAAAATACCAAAGTGTCGATCACCTCAAGAGGCCAAAATACCGCAGAGCAACATTCGGGCAGCGTGTGACGGTTTCATTGGCCGTTTGAAGGCCATAATCCGTGACAAAGGTGACAAATTTGAACAAATCTAAACTTATTCTAACCTTTGATGCTATTTCCGACATTTTTGCTTCCATTTAATAAAATTAAAAAATTATATCGTTTGACTTTATATGTGGGAAAAGTTTCTGAAATACTAAGTTAATTTAACTAGGAATGGATTACTGTAGGCTTAAAACCCCACAGGCTTTGTGTTCTACATTTCGTCCAATTAGAATTTGCAAACTATGACATATTTGTAATTTCGATTTTACTTGTTAGGGATGATGATCGCATGTTCCTCTTGTTTTTACTTCATCACTTCATCTATTACAATCCATTGAAACAAATCAGGTTTGCCTTAAACAAAATGTTTATATTTTTTGCTATAAAATATTTATATGTAACGTAAATTCCAACTTTATATGTTTTGTTTTAAAAAATAAATTCTCCCCATATACTACTCAATATATAAAAATCATGCAATCACAACATAAAATTATATTCAATATAAAATATTTACGGAATGCTAAACTAAGGTTTAATACTTTGTTTTTGATTGGGCATTGGTATTTTGCCCAATTCTTGTAACTTCAACATCACTTGATTGCTTTGTTCCATTATAGACATGATTTCCAGTTCTTGCTGTTGTATAAACTAAAATGGATATACAGATTTTTAAATCAAAGAGCGGATAAGTAAATTTAGGGTGGTGACATACCTTAAGACGATTTTTCTGTTCCATTTTGCTCAATTGATTATTGTTGCTGATCATTTTGGCGTCCATATCCTTTTGCAAATCGGCCTTAAGTCTATACAGTTCATCACGTATTCTATGTAAATTGCGTTCACATTCACGCACATCCTTTTCAAGGATTTCACTTTTCAAATAAACCGTTTGTGCCAATTTATACCAATCGGCAAGACACTCGGCCATTTGGGCAACTGCTGGTTTGGTATCATCGAGAAGCAAGGATTTTATACGCTTTCCATTGCGATCAACCTACGAATTAAATCATGTTAAATTCTACAGCTTGTTTTATATATATCATTTGAGTTGTACCTTAATTTTTTCCAACGCATGAAACTGTTCATCATTGTATGTTAGGGTGCGAGTTGCCCTATCTCTAAGTAAATGTTGCCAAGAGTCTCTTAAACGTTCCACCAAGTATTTTGCTTGGGGGCTGGCCCTTGTACGACAAGGACATTTTTTGCCATGCATGGATGATGTCCATTGTTCACTTGAAAAAAATAAGGTATTCATTAATTTTTGTGATTTAAGAAAAAATTTTCAAAATCTTACTTTAACTGGTCCTCAATGACAAAATTCGAATACAACTGCATAATAACATCGGCGGCTCCATCAAAATCTGATTTAAGATTTTCCAAATTATTCAAAATTGTCTTACTCTCCTGATCTTTATTTGTCTGGAAATAAATTGCAAAGGATTATACAGGGTGTGAAAAAAAAATGCAACAAAGTCAAACGCCATAATTTTTTAATTTTTTTTTAAATTTTATTAAATGAAAGCAAAAATATCGCAAATAGCATCAAATTTTAGAATAAGTTTAGATTTGTTCGAATTGGTCACCTTTGGCACGAATTATTGCCCTTAAACGGCCAATGAAACCGTCACACGCTGCCCGAACGTTGCTCTTCGGTATTTTGGCCCATGCCCGGCGAAGCGCTTGCTTGAGGTGATCGACACTTTAGTATTTTTAGTGCCAACCTGGCTTTCCAAAATACTTCAGACACAATAATCCAACGGATTGGTATCCGGAGATTTTGGTGGCCATTGTATGCTGGAAATGAAGCGAGGAACCTCATTTTGTAACCATTCTTGGGTGGCGCGTGCTGAGTCCTGTTGGAATGTCCAAGGTCTGCGGCCAAAATATTTGCGTTCCCAAGGCTTTAGTACATCCTCCAGAATATTTTGGCGATAATATTCGGCATTTATTCTGTTGTCACGGTCGATTAATACGTGCGGAGAGCAACCATCGGCTGTTATGGCGGCCCACACCATCACTATAGCCGGCGGCGCTTGAGTTCTTGTGGCCAACCGAAGGTGCACATTTTCAGCTGACCTCTTTGGCAAGTGTTTACATTGATTTTGTTTGTTTACAAACTGTTGGACAACGAATGTTTTCTCATTGGAGAAAACCAAATCCGGCAGTTTACCACTATCGGCCAAGCGAAGCAACTCTTTAGCTCTTTTGAGTCCATTTTCTATCTGTTGCGGTGTAATTTTTTGCACTTTTTCAAATTTTAATGGCTTTACCCCGAGCTCATATTTCAATATGTATTTGCCGAATGGAATATTGCGATACGTTAAGCTCACGAGCCATTTTTCGGCCACTGCGACGCGGGTTTCAATCGCTTCTTTACTTTTCGAACCATTTCTGCTGATGTTACTGTTTTCTTCCGTCCACTTCCTTGACGTAGGGCTACGCTACCAGTATCACGGTAACGAGCGATGGTACGAGACACAAAAGATTTATTCACATTTAAATGCTGGGGGTGCTCTAACGATAGCCTCTTGTGGTTTTCCAGCCAAATATAAAGAAATCACACTATCACGCTTGAATTCCATCGCGAATAACTTTTTTCTCATCAAAATGCCTTTGTACGCTTTTAAACAATATAATGAGCTGTCACTGGAATAAATTTAACAGCTGTCGGACGAGTGGCTTACAAATGACAGCAGTCTGAAGTTGGTTTTTTTTTCATCTTATCCTGAATTTTCTACAACTAAAATTGTCCCATAAAATTCTATCCTATTTGTGGTCTAAAAATTTTTGAAAAAATTGCCTGGCGTTGAAGGGGAACTCCAAAAATAGGAGAGCCAAAACTCCACTGTTTTTATGGAATCTCTGCATGATGCAAAAAAACACATCGATTTTCAAATAAAGAAACCTTACCAGTTTTGCAATACTCTGGACTGAATCAGCATAGTCCATAACTGTTCTCAGAAGTTCATGGAAGTTTTTGGTTTTCCTATGAATAAAAGGTGAATTAATAAAATTTACAATCTTAGATATTGATTATTTTTAATTACTTTACTAGCAACGTAATTGTGGTGGTCAAAGTTTCTATGAACTGGTTTACGGCTTTTTTAATCAATATATCAATTGTTGTAAATGTATCCACACGACGCTTACATTCATGTCCGACACTGCAGGCAGCCTAGACATTTGTAAACAAAAAGCGTTCACAATTTAATTATTTGCAAAAAAAAAACAATGTACAATTTACCTTAGCTAAGCTAGCATCATTTTCCACCGAAACATTGCTGGGAAACACTGGAAATTTGGGTAATTCCAATTGCTGTGGTAACTGAACATTATTATCATCATTGCTGTATAAAAATATTGGTGATTCGCCTGCAGTTTCCGGGAATCCACTTGCTAAAATGAATATGTTCCACAATTATTTTATTTTTGAAAACTAAAAACCCTTAACTCACCCGTTGTATGCATTGTAATACGTTTCTCCAAATGTTCATTGTTAAAGAGTAGAATTTGTTTCTCAATAGGAACTTTGGTTTGCATTAGAATACGTTCACGGAAATGTTCAATTTGCTCTTCCGGCTCGAGAAAGACCTCAATGGAAGATGTGCGATTTGTAAAGAAAACGTGAACAACACGTTTACGCAGTATCAAGGTGACCTCTTGAAAGAAACGATCAAATGACCAAGTTTTCTCACGATTTTCCTCCAAAAGACCCGCCAGTAGGGGGGTTACCAATGATTTTAAACCCTCCGATAAATGACAATGTTGTGGCAGTGTGGTGGACCATTCGATGGGTCCATTCTCGGACAATTGTGTACCCGAAATAACTCCTGAGGCTTTTTGTGTAGTTATTTGATGCATAGTTTCGCGATTTTTACGTCCACCAAATGGCCGAAAAGGCAAATTTCCCGTAGCTACGTGATATAAAGTCACTCCGATTGACCACAAATCCACATTTGCCGTGAATGAACGATTTATGGACTTTCTAAGCACAGCTCTCTCATACAAATCGGGATGTAGATATTCCTCTGTGCCATAAAGTGATGCAAATGGTTGGTTATCCTCCAGCTCACGGGCAGCCCCAAAGTCGGTAAGTTTATAAATGGTTTGACCATCTTCCGAAATGAATTTCATAATATTGCCAGGTTTCAAATCGCGATGTACCAATTTGTTGTCTCTCAAATGTTTCATGCCAGCACACAAGTGTTCAAGCACCAATAAGAATTCCTTTTCCGACAGACCATACGAGTTTTCGGGGTCATCGAGTATATTAAATAAACTGCCACCGGTACACAGTTCCATAACAATAACTTTGCCCCGTCCCTCTTGATCTTCCTCGATGGCCAATAGTTTGACAATGTTTTCATGATTGACTTTCTTCAAGGCCTCAAATTCACGCATTTGGACATCGGGCGGACGCATATGACTATAGGGATTAAATGTCTTTACAGCTACAGATTCTCCGGTGATTTTATTGACACCCTGGAGGTGAAGAACCCTCATTATATATATGTATGTATTTGTCATTACAAAAAATAATGGAAACTTACCTGAAATACAGAGCCTGTAGCACCCTTTCCCAGGACACTGGTTGTGCACCAAACATAGTTCAGAGAACCACGTAAAAACGACATTTTTTCTTTTGATTTCACTTTTTTTCTTTTTTTGGTGCCAAGGAATTCCGGGAATTGGTGGGGTAATTTAAGTCTTTTCGTTGTATATATATCCCCTTCTAGTAGTCTAACAATAATAATAAGAAGTAGATAAATTCCTGCCCATTAAAAATGAGATCTGTTTTTTTTAATTGTTCGGGATTTTTATTATTTTTACTTTTTGGTTGATTTCACTATTTACTATTTTTTGTTTGATGGCTCATTGTTTTTATTTGCATAAGTTTATCTTCTTCTTTGTCAGACATATGTTATATCATGCATCGTAAGATGATAACATGTAGACAGGTTTGGTAATTCGAGTTTTTAAATTTAACTCAATGGAATTTTGGAACTAAAATTGATATGTTTAGAATTGAAAATAAAATTCTCAAAGTACTATTGAATTATAAATTCTAGAATTACGTATAAAATTTGTGGAATTTTATATGAGAAATATCTATTAAAGAGCAGAGCTCTGACTATTTGATATATATATATACGATTTTTAATTGTTTAGTTTCATTAGAACAGACCATTAGTTGCTCTACAATTATTTTTAATTTAAATTTTTCTCATTAAATTACTCTTTTTTCAGGCCATGGTATAACCATCAGACCATGGTTCTGGAATTGAACGTATATGCTTCGCAAAAATTCTTTTCAAATTATTATTATTATTTTTTTTTTTTTTTTTTTTGTAAAAATGGTCAATTCATGGCCAATGAGGTTTCCAAAACACATTTTTAATGCCCAATATAAAATTCCATATTCCAATAAAGTAAAACCAGTTTAGGGAGCTACATATGTTTTATTATTTTAATACTACTAACAAAATTTAATTTATTGCAATTTAGTCAAAAGTATAAGATATATTGTGTATATAATCCATTCAATGGAATAGCGTTAGAGAAATTTAATTATCGTTCTTTGAAGCCTTCTCAAAAAACTCGACCATTAGTGGATAGACTTCATCGTATTGTTCACTTTTCTTGCGTCGTACACTGTCACGGTATCTTTGCAAAGCTCCCGATATCAGTTCAAGTTTTTCACGTTCACTATGGCCCTCCAGCCATTCGATAAGACGTTCATTTGACCAATTCACTGTGGTGTGGGGCGATTGCAATTCCGCGCTGCCATGGCCAAATAACAGTAATAAAATTATATAGGATGGTACCAGCGAATCTGTACCAATATTTTGCTTAACTAATTCTGTGGGATTTTGTATGATCAGGAACGACATTGCTCTCAACATACGGGCCGAATTGCCCAATTCGGAAATATTACTACACAGTGGTTTCAAAGCATTCTCCATGTGGGCACAATCATTTTTCAATCTCTGCCGGCCGGCATGACTTATGGGTCGCATTATACTCAAATTGTGAATAAAGAAATCTATACAACGCTTGGCCACCTCATGGGCACATTTAGTGACAATATCATTATCTTCATAGGCGGAAATGTGATTTGTCCAGACACGCTGAATAAATTCCTGCAATTCTTTCATATACATGGAGGGACCGCTTGTGGAAATTTTCTCCGTATTCAAACCGGGTTCACGATGTATACTTAGAATGATAATATTAATTGTTGATATAATAGAATTCATGATCTGCTGCAGTATTGTTGTTATCAATAGATCTGCATGCTCCAAGGATTTGGTTATATCATTTTTCGCCGAAGATTGAGTTTTATCCAGCTGTTGTCCCAAATCTCTTAGCATTCGGCGAACTGAATCTTTAAAATAATACAGAATATTGGCCAGCAAAGTATTTTGTATTTGTTGTGTGTTGGGCATATCAACCACCTGAACAGAATCGGGACCCAGTTTTATTTGGGATTCCAGTTTGGTGCAAAAGTCCTTGCTGCATGATATAAAAACAGCCGAAACTGAATTACTTAGACGTGTATCGACCAATGCATTACTCAATTCCGTGGCTGCCACCCGAATGAAATTATCAACCGTTTCGTTATTTGGCAAATCCACTCCAGCCAAACAGGCTTTCATATTTGCACCACATTTTGAGACATAGCCAACTTCGAGTGGTATAAACAACTGTTCATCAAACAAAAATTCTCGATTGACACGTTCCTCAAATCCACGGACCGAGCTCAACAATTTCGATAGACCCTCCTGCAGAGTTTGGGTAATATGCGCCGGGCAGTCAGTGAAGTATTTTCGCATCAACTCTTGTGTGGCTTGCCAAAATTTTGATTGTACCAAATATTCTCCGTTCGGAGAGATAACCATGCCGCCCAATTGGACCTGTTCCAAGGCCTTGTTTAGCAACAATACCTGGGTACAGTATTCGTAAAGTTCATCATAGATAAGCCAATGTAAAGATTTCCAAAATTTTGCACGGAAATTTTGTGTTGTTGTGAGTTGAGGGGTTTTGCCTGGACCCCTCATTGCAGCCGAAGATTTTGGTGAACTCGATAGAGGTTTGGTGCTGGGATCATTTTTGCCCATGACCGATATATCATTACCGGCAAAACATTCCTTGAGGGCCTGCTCCAAATCGGATATGAATGTGGTAATTAAATTGTCCATGGATTTCTCCAAAGTATTAAAGTTCATAAAAATCTGGAAAAATAAAAACATTTAATGGTTCCTTTTTACAAACGCCATGTTGACTACCTTAAGGGCATTGCAAACTTGCTGTTCGTTCCTCTCTTGCAGTCCAGTCACCAACTGCATTTGTGTTAGATTGCGAATTTTCTGTTTCGAATTGATGACATAATTTCTGGCAGCCTGAACAAATTCAATTTTCTTCATATCAGGATCTTCAATTAGCTCATTTAGTTCATAATGCAGCTCGGCTTGTTTCAAAACGTCCTTGGTACCTTTTAGTTTGTTGGTCAACGTCAGCAGAGTTTTTGAGGAACGCAGCAAATGCGACAGCTCATGTAAGCGGGCTAATACTTTTGTACGATTCTCGATTAATTGAAATTGACTATCAACCTGTTGCCTTAAGCGATATCCGCTGGAACGTATCTGTTGCACATCATCGGCCAAAGAATTAAGGGCGGTATCAAATCGACCGGCATGTGTGGCTTGTTGCAGTAGGGCTCCATGCTTGTCGCGTACCTGTTGTTGTAGTTCCTCATTGATGTTGTTTAGACGTTTACTTAACTCTTGAATTTGATCACCGATGGTCAGATTCATTGCTGCCAGAGAGGCGGTAATATCCTCGTCATCATCAATGCACTCATTTTGTTGCTTCTGTAAAGACGTAGTCGTCTGTTGTACCCTGAAATTATGACAATAAAAATTGTGGATTTTTAATAATTTAGATATTCGATTTTTTTCTTCTTAATCTCTAATTATTCCTTAGTTTTTTTCATTTTTGTAAGCCACTCCTTTCGCTAATCCTTTGAGCCAACATTTTTTTAATTGCTGTGTTTGGCTTACTTTACTATGAATGTATTATTAAAATTTTTAAAGATTATTTTTTTATTAATTACATTTTACGGTGATTTTTGTTTGTATATTGATTTTTTGTGTTTTTTAATAAATTTATTTTATTAATAACACAACAAAGTCACGTCACCAACTAAGGATGATATCAGCTGCTTCGCAATGTTTACTTATGCCTTTAATGCAAACGTACGACGCGTGACCAAATATTTCACATGAGTCTGGTCGACAAGAAGTGTTGCACACAGCTTCAGTATAATTTATTTATTAAAATAATTTATAGATTAATTAATATTAAATAAATCTAGTCTTGTGATAAAATTAATTAATTTGTTTAATGCTATAAACAACAATTAACGTACGATAATGAATCTTCTAAATAGTCTTAATTGTTATTCACAACTCCCAATAGCAGCTGTTTACTTAAGCCCTTAAAAAAAAGCGTACAAGTGTGGCAAATTATATTAAACGATTTTGGCAGACCAAACTATTTTAAACTATTATTTAATTAATTACAAGTAAATAAAATTATTTAAACAATCATATAAATAAAATGTAATTACATAAAAAGTTGTTAAAAAGTCATCTTGGTGGCAATACTGGCAGATCACTTACTCCTTACATATTACAGGGTGAGTTGAAAAAACTGCAATCAACTTCAGACTGCTGTCATTTCAATTCTATTTATTCTTGTCAATAGTTCAAAAACTAAGCGCGCCAAAATGTTGTTTTACAGCATCTCAGCATTCAGCGTGTTTCGTAGTGCAACCTGTAGCCACACGTAGTTGTAAAAGAATCACCGGGTGAACATGCCAAAGGCCTGCTGATTTATCAAAACAAACACATTTTTGATTTGAAATATCCCTCGTTTCTAAGTTCCAGTTGGTTGCAATAAATAATATAGCAATTCCATCAAATTATCAGCTCCTTCAAAATGGAACCACCTCCCAAATTTCTACTACCATCACCAAATTTCAACGCCAAAGGCAAGAACTGCCCAACAAAGCCGAAACCGCACTTTTTAACTCCATCAGGTATGACGCTGTTACCACGTGAAAAACAACCACCACCGATGTATGGAAAAAGAGGAGCAACAGTGCCTGCAAGATTTCTGAAGAATACCATCGAAAATGTTTCAAAGCCCGAACCCATGAGGCAATATTGTGAACCATGTGAAATAGAACTTGCATCATTGGAAGATCTTAAACATCATCGGGCCCAACATGAAAAATGTCCTGTAGATGGTTGTCAATATCGTGGTCATGCCATGGTAATGGATAAACATGTTACGGCCCTACATAGTTCTGGTCTCTTCGATAAGTTCAAGAAATTGAATACACCCGAAGAGATTGCGGCATGGCGTGCAGAGCGCCGTAAAAGATATCCTACAGTGGAAAATGTCTTGCTCAAACAGAAAGCCCAGGAACAGCGACAAAAACGTGGTGAACGCTTGGAGGCGAGTAAATGTCGTTTTGGGAAGCAGGATGATAGGAAAAGGGCATTACCAACAAAAAATACTAACAAATCTAAGGGCAATGATGATAATAATAAGCCGCCTAATGAGACGAATGGGAATCCAAAACCAACCCAGCGGAATAATAAACGAAATAAAAAGAAAAGAAGAAATCAACGTGATAAAAAGGATGATAAGGACAAATCCGAAAATGTTATAAAAAATCAACTACAAGCTAACTCAAGTGATGAGGAAGATGAATTTAAAACAGTGGTGAGGTTTCAGGGTACTCGAGGAATGAAAGACTACAAACATTTGGAAGCTAAGGTAAAGGAAACCAACAAAAATGCTTTGTTAAGTCTTGTCGGTATGTATGGCTCGGATGATGACGATGATGAAGATCAAGATGAAGCTGAAGCCACGGAAATGGAAAACAATGATATTAAAATGGAGGGGAATGAAGTGGATCATGTAACTCATAGTGTTCCGGAAAGTCAGTCATTGGCGAATAATCAGAATTCCTGCGAAAGCAGTACGGAAGATGTGGCAAATTTAGGCCATAGATCGGATCAAGATGTTGGTGATATTGATGCTGATGCGACCGGTGAAACTGTAGCCATAAAAATTAATGACTTGGAGAGTCAGCCACAAAAAAATAGATTAAATCCCCCCGAATGCAGTGTTGAATTAAATGGTCAACATGAAAATTTCTCTACAAATATTGACACAACTGCCACTAATGAAGATGAAAAGGACTCTTCCTCACAGTCTTCGACCACAGTGCCAGAACCAATTACTATTCCCATTAATGAAGACGACAAGCAAGCCACAAATCCCCAAGCCAATTCTTCTGATGAGGGACCCGAAGAAGTGCCTATACAACACCATATGACGGAATATAAAATTCAAAATGTAGAAGAAAAGAATGCGACTAACTTATCACAACAGCCAAAATGTCCCCCAAAGGCGACCGAAGAGACAAAGAGGCCAACAAAGCCTGCTGTAAAACGAAAATCTGGTTTGGACTATCGCAAGGCAAAGCTGCGTAAACAAAATACAATGCTGGAAAAGCTACTAGAGACTGATATCAGACATGAACGTAACGTATTGCTACAGTGTGTACGATTTGTGTGTGAGAATAACTTTTTTGGTATTGGAAGGCCAAGTACCAACAATTAAGGGAGTTGTACAAAAATTGTTAGACTTATGCCTATATTAAGTTAAAATAAAAAAAGAAGTATAAAAACAATAATTTTTTCGTATCATTGTTATTTTTTAACTCAAAGTTTTTCATTTTCTCTTAACATTAAACTATTTACATTACCTCTTCCACCTCGGTATCTGTGGAGAAAACATATATATCTCTTCGACGGGCAAATATAATTTCATTGTTCTTTGGATGTGTGGCCAAGGAGTGGACAACTCCCCCAGTTTTGCCTGTAACAAAAAAGTACATTTACAAATTACAATTTTGTGCCATCTCATTGCTCGTGTCATTACTCACTTATTTCAAGATTTTGCAAAACCTTTCCCTCCAGTAAATCCCACACATAAGCACTACCATTACTGCTACCCGATATAATATGTGCATCATTGGACATAATACCACATTCGACTTGATAATCATCGGCAGCATGTCCTCGGTATTCGGATAATATGCCACCAGATTCACAATCCAAAAGCCTCACAACACTATCTTGACAAGCAGCCACCAAACATTGTTCATCTCGTGTCATGCATAAATATGTTATGGGTACTCCCACCTTATCCACCGTCAATTCTCCGGCACGTATATCATAATGGCGTATACAACCGTCCAAAGAGGATGTAATTATTTTGTTTTCATTACTCAATACTGATGTAATGCAATCCTTGGCCTCACGCATCATTTGAACCGGTTCGAGGCGCCGTGTACGTATATCCCAACAGAAAACGGCATTGTCTCTGCCACCCGAAATGGCAATGGATGAATCCTCATTGAAACAAACACATTTAACACCACCAGCATGGCCACGTAAACGTCTTACCGGCGCCCCAGTACTAACATCCCAATATATGATACTTTTATCCAAACTAGCAGAAACAATATTGCTGCTTTCACAACTGGATCGGGCATCAGTCACTTCATCCGCATGGCCGCCATACGTTTTTAGTAAAAGCCCGGTTTTGTGATTCCATAATTTGATCTTTTTGTCCGAACCACAGGTCAGACAATAGATACCATCAACTATAAGAACGAGAGACATAAATCCGTTTAACGTTTGTTGTGAAAGAGATTTCTTTGAGACTACTTTAATTACATACCATTGTATCTGACGGCCCGAACAGCGCCCTGTCGACAATCTATTGTTCGTACATACTTAAAATCTTCAAATTTTGCCATATTAACTCACAGCTACCACTAGTTTAACCAAATATCACCATGGACTTCCTTGTCCTTGCAATTTAAAATCAAAACAAAACAACCGCAAACAGGGCTCTTACAATCGAAAGTGACCTAGAAGTAGGGTTTTAAAAGCGCATTTTCGCCTGGACATAGCATATTTCATAACGAACCTTAAACTTTTATTGGTCGTACCATGGCATACCATGGGTCGCACTTATTTAAAATATCCAAATGTTGTCATATTAACTCACACGCACAACTTATTTAACCAAATATGACCATGGCCCTTAATGAATTCCTTCCATGTCCTAGCAATTCAAAATCAAAACAAAAACCCGCAAACAGGGCTCATACAATCGAAAGTGGTCTAGATGTAGTGTTCTAAAAATGCATTTTCGTCAGGAAATTGGAAATATTCTTACCATAGTGCCCTTTTTTATTTTTCTGTTCCAGATTTACTTTTGCAGTTTTCTTTGGATTTCATGAAGGAAAATTTGGTTTGGCTTAAAAAGTACTCTGTTTCAGAACCTTAAAGAATGTAAAACTTTTGCATTTTTTCGATGTTATAAAGGGAAAATCGTTTATTGTATTGCGGAACAGGCCAAAGAAATACCGAATAAAACAGTTCGCCTGATTCTTTATCATATAGATCTTATAGAAGACATATTTCATTTTCCAAGAACCCGCTTCTTAGGTGTATTAGTGTATTTGGCTTATATGAAAATTTGATTAAACCGCAATGATTTGAAAATTGAAAATCGATTACAAAAAATCGACTTTCAACACCAAAAGTTGATTAGTCGATAATTCAAAAGTCGACTTACGTATCCCTATTATTCTGCACTCAATCCCATTTATTTCGTTCTTGAGTTTTGGATGACGCGGATGTCGGTGCGCTATAATCGCTGTTATTACAATCAACAACAAAAACAACAACAAATATTGAAAATGAAATGAGAATGTAAAACACCCTTTTTAACATTTGGAAATGTAAACACTGTTTAAAAACCCTAAACTACTGCTATTTAAAATAAGTGAATTTGTGAATACTATCGGCAAATCAAATCAAAAGAAAAAGTACAGTGAGAATAAAGCAATGAAAAATATTTTGAAATCAATGAGAGAATAAAGAAAAAACCAACAAAGTTTTTTTTTATGTATTGAAAAATTGCCGCTAAATTGTGTAAGCAAAGCAAGAAAAAAAAAACAGCTGAAAAATATCTACCACATGAGAAAAATACAACTACATATGTGTGCGTGTGTATATGGCGAATGCCAGCTGTGAATACAAAAGGAAACTTGAAAAAGTAGAAAAAAAAACACCGAAAATTCGCCGCAACAAATAGGGCGAATCTTAGCAACGACGACGTCCGTCAACAAGAGAGTCTCAATGAATAAGAGAGAGCGTCATTTCATATGATATGCCAGAGAAAGAGTGAAAACAAAACGGAAAAAACGTCATCTTGAAATTAATTGAGGTTCTTATTTAAAAAGAAGAAAAAAACCAAGCCATTCAATTAAATAAAAAAGTGAAAATTTTCTATGAAAGGAAAACAAATAAAACCGTGATTAATTATGCAGCGAAAGAATTGGAAAATAACAAAATAATACCATTGAAAATAGTATGCATAAAATCATTGAGTGTAAGGCATATTATTAAAATAAAAACACGTGGTTTTTCGTTGAAGAAAATATTTTTTAATTTATACGAATAACACTCAACCACCGGACTTTTATTCATAGTTCAATTCCCTGATTTGTGGTGTTGTGGACAAGCATAAAATGTCTTCGAACGTTCCTATTAAAACCGAGGAAGTGATATTGGAAAATGTTGAATATCAAAGCACTGAAGAATTGGATGAAGAATTGCAGTAAGTTAAATGGATTTTTTCTATTTTATAAATATGTCTTGTTTTGGAAATTGACAGGGGCCAAAAAATCAGCAGTTTTGTATTTATATTTTTGTGGCCTACCCTCTCTACTTGATATTCTATCTCCTCAAATCCCATATGTTTTTCTAATCAATATCAACTGTTTTGCCCCTGTGCCGCCTGGCTGTATCATACGTTTTTTCATTTTGTCTTGTGCTGCCATTTGCCCAACGAGACAAGAAGGAAAAAAACATATGGCCTCCGAGCAAGTGTGTTGGTAGTTGTGAGTGTGTGTGTGTGTGTCATGAAGAGAAAAAAAGTATGGCGCAAAAACGTTGAATGCTTTGTTTTTGCCGATATTGTTTCATTTCCACTTAGTTCCCATGAAGAAAATTTCAAAAGAATGTACACGACAACGACGACGACGCCGTACTAAACATCCGGCCCAAAGGCAATCCATTTCAATTAAATAAATAAAATCCAATGCCAAAATAGAACTAAATTCGTGAATTTTTGTTGTGCAAATTGCTATTTATATCAATTATCTTGTTATTTCACAGTATTTTATAAAATCAGCTGTGGGTTGGTTGGTTGGTGGGTTCCTTATCAAATTACTTTCTCTCTCATTCCATTCACACACGTATTTACTGCTAATCGGCTGACTGGTGGCTGGCTGACCGTATGTTTTTTTCTGATTTCATTTTGTGTTTTGTGTGCATGGCACGGCAGCGGCACTGGTGATAGGGGTGTTGGTGCAATCAAAACGCTGTTGATTACTTGTTATTGAAACAGCTGTACCCGGCAAACAAACAACAATCATGAAATCTTGTATTCATTTCATCTAGAAGGCAGATCTTCAATTTTCTCGTCATTGCACAATGCAACCGTCGCTCACTGTTTTAATTGGAATATCTTCCGTTTTATTCTTGGTTATTGAGATCTTGAAAAGTATATTCTTCAAATTTCAACGTCTCGGAATAAACTGATCCAGGTTTTAGTTAATAATCAGAAAATGGCTACCCAATAAATCAGACTTATGGATCTATTTGCAGAGATAATTTTATTAAGAATATCAAATTGTTATGAAATATATAAATCTGAATCGAACATAAAACTCAGATCAAGTGGTGGGATGTCATCGAGACCTGTAGGTATTAACAAGTGTGCAGGAAGAATATGCCAAGGTTTTTCACATTACAACTAGGCCTCTTTGGAGGCCACCCGTTTTCATATTCAAGACATGTATTACAAACGCATTTGCAAAAACGAAAAGGAGGAGGAAACAAATCATCTCAATTGTAGGGAGTTACATACACATAGGTATCTAAATCTGATATAAATATACCAAAACCTTAAAATGATTACCTATTACAGCTCTAGAACAGCCCAAAATTTGTAACTTTGTCAATTTTTCACTGCCGGGAAACCATAGAAAACCCGAAGAGAAAAAGGACGGGATAGATTAAAGTTACATGAATCTCGTATTTCGACTTTATGGTGTCTTACCTTCCTGCCGGATAGTTTCGCCTCGAAATCACGACACCTATCCTGGAGCTTACGTTTTATAAATAGACTGGATGGTTCTCCATTTTGGCCTCATTTGTATATATCTTTCCAGTAGTCACAAATAATGTCATCCTTAAGCCAAATAGGATAAAACCAACGCGAAGTAAATAATATCATGTATAACCTTGCGGAATTGGTTCAAATATTTTATCTTGCTCATGCCATTTGTTCGATCTTACCGATGTATTTTGCTTGCAATATAAATACCAATGGTAATCCATTCAGCATTGAGATAAAGGATCACAAACTATATCAACCACATGGCCACCACGAGCAGCTGGATTGCAGAGCCACATCCATTTCATGAATTTTTGCATAAACAAATCGCAATGTGGCTGACCCATGTCCTTAATAGCCTCACGATAACCATATTTGGGCTTTTGAATCGACGATGGGTCTTAATAAACGTAGTTCGTTCATTTAACTCCGACCATATAAAAATAATTCTTGAGGTTTTCTGGCCACAGATACCATAGACACTAAATCCAAATTCGGATTTAGACACAAATCGAAATTTATGTCCTTGATAGCCTCACGTTTATCATATTTGTGCTTTTGAATCGACGATGGACCTTATCTTTTGCATGGCCCAAAACGAAGAAGTTGCAAGGTGTTTGAAATCACGAGATCTCGTTAGTAGGATGTGATCACTTCTTTGAGAGATGGAAATAAACCTCGTTCAGGCCAATACCATTTAACTCCGACCATATAAAAATAATTCTTGAGGTTTTTCGTGCCCCGGATGCCACAATTTTGTTTGTTGACGCAGCCACCAAGGTGGAAATAGCCTTATGGCTACAGATGGTATATCTCATTCTATACGGCCAAATTGTGCCTCATTGAAATAATGGATTTAGACACTAGGTCTCTTTCGATGAAATTTGGTGTCGATGTAGCGTTGTCCGTCCACTTATCTGTCAACTGACTTTCCGGTTGGTTCACACAATAACTCCCGAAGGTTGTCTCCGATTTCTCCAAACTTGGTACATCGCAATATTATTATCAAACTTGGAAAACTTTCCAAAAATGGCAATATCAATCACTTCCAGACCCTAAGTATCTTTGGACGAAATTCGTTTCAGGACATTTGGAGTCGATCTAGCTATTCCGCCCAATTTTGAATACTTATATCTTTTACAAAATGAGAAATATAAATCCGATTGCCTTCCAATTACCTACACCCCTATATTTCCACAAATACTAGATCTGTGTATGAAGACAAGGATAAAACGGTGCCCTCCTTCTGATACCTCCAACTCCACGGATCAAATTTTTAAATAACAATAGTGGTCAAAAATGCGAAATATGCATCAGATTTTTCCGTAAAGAGAAGAGAGGATAGACGGACCATTCACTCTGGTATTTATCTCTCATAACATCTGAATCGGGCCAGGGATATTCTTCAAACTTCGCATGTATCCCTGATTCCGGGAAACTATTTTTTTTTCTTGTTGGATGGACCCTGAACCCCAGGTTTTTAACCCGAGATTCCGGGTTCAAGACCCGGGATAGAATCGGATCCGCTTTCCGATATTGGCAATACAAAGTACCTATCCAACAAGTGGTCACATGCCATTCGGAAGTTATAGTCAAATTATCGATTTTTTGGACCCGGATTTTTTATAAAACCCCCAAAAAGTCGAAAAAGGGCCCATATGGGGTTCAACAGAATTGAAGCTTACATTCTTACCTTTCCAAAATGCTACAATTTGTGCTAATGCCTTTTCTCGCCCAGAGATATGGGTCTTTTCACCCGCATAACCCTATTCTAATCAGTTCATTAAAATTATGTTTTCAATAAAAAAAGCTTTATTTTGCATAGCCTGCGTTGGAATTACAAAATCATTAAATTTAGAAAACTTTGGTTCCCGCTAGCTGGTGTGGGACATACCCAGAGGAGAAAATATCCAACCCCAGCCGAAGGCCGTCTACTTACAGCAACTGGTAATTTTAGAAAAACTTTGTATCACGTTAACCGGTGTGGAACATACCCAGAGGAAAAAATCTCAAGGATCCGGGTCTTGATCCCAGACGTTCGTCGCCCAAGAAAAAAAGTGTCCCGGAAAAATACCTAACTCTGAAAAAAAAAATCGAAATGATTTTACTAAACTAGAGTTGATTCAAATTTATGCCCCTGTGGGACATATCCAGAGGAGAACATTTCAAGGAAACGGGTCTTGAACCTCCCCCAAGCAAAAGATAGTTTCCCGGAATTAGGGTAAAACACCTACCTCTCTCAAAAAATATTCAATCTGGGTCCACTTCTTGGTTTAGCGTTTATATAAGGGTACCTCCTGATTTCATAATTTTGAAAGCTTCATTTCCAAACCAAATCTGTTGTAATTAGCAATTTTGGATTCTCCCCCAAAAGGTATTCAATGTGGGTACTTATAGTTCCCTTATATAACGGAACTTTCAAATTTTTAGGAATTTTGGCTATAGTCTGTTAGGACAAAGTCTAGTTTTCACATGTAGGGCATAAAAATTTCGGGACAACCTAACTTAACGACGTCGTTTCTGTTTATTTTCATAACAAAATTTGTCGACGTGCAATAATGACCGTCGTCGGCAAGCAACTGCCGATTATGAAGACAACAAACTTCGAAAACCAACGCTGCAATCCAAACATCCGAATACTACCATCAAAACAAATGATAATTCTGTAGCGCCCGGCGAAACGAGAATAGTAGCGAATACAAAACAAAGAAGAGACCGGTTGACGCAAGTGACCTTTGCGTAGCTCAAACAAATTAAAACATTTGATTTTATTCCACTTTTCAGACGTTCATCGTTTATATATTTCTCACGTCAACGACTTCTATTTGTGTACGAACGAACAAACGAACATAGGTATGTACGTACTTACGTATCTTAAAGATAGCCGCGTCAGTGGCTAGATACTACGCCATACAACAACACGCCGCTATGGCAAAATACACTTTGGACTTTATGTGCCTATGCACATTTGGAGGATTGATTGGCTTATTGGAATGTGTGAGGAAAATCCAAAACAAAGAGAAGGAAAGTCGATACTTGTCTTTCTTTGAATGAGAATAATTTTTGGGTCTCATATGTTTTGGACCCCATAAAACCAGACCTAAGTGTAGTAGTTTACTACTAAATGGCTCTCGTCATACCCATACCGTCGTCGTTCTCACATTGAGTCGGGTTCCGTCCGAAATGCATTCAACATTGTTGTTGCTTTATTTACCGTATATATTGTGTGTTTTTGTTTTTTTTTTTCATCTTATCACGAACCCCCCACACGAATCCGCATTCAATTACTGTATCGACGAAATGTTCGGACAGACGACCAACCATATGATTTTAATAGCGTAGATTGTTTTTGTTTTTTTTTTTCATCTTTTTCTTGTTCGCTTTTTTTGCGGTGTTGTGCGGTGCTGTGCTGTGCTGTGGTGGTGCGTGTTGAATAT